GAGACCGTATTTCCAAAGCTGTAGCTAGAACCATCTTGACCGGATTATGGATACAGAATAACATAGGGTCACATTAGGAGATCCTGAATGTAAGACGTTTCTATAAAACGAATTGTATGAAACGCCGAACATTTTCCTTTTGTTCACTAGTCGAGGGCAAATGCTGCCAGCCATATGAGACGGCATACGCGTATCTTATTAATTAACGCTTTTAATGATCATATTTGCGCACCAGTTTCATGTTAAAAATGTACTACATCATCATCGGATGTTGTTCTTTTGGCTATGAGTAAAGATGACCTTTTCTGCCTGTTTCTTAGTCTTCAATACAGTTTAATCGTGATCGATACATGTGTGAGTCAGCTCTCCAGAATACCAATGTTACCAAAGGGAGCCAATGTTACCGCATTTTCGTGTGGCATGAACGATACCCGACATCAACTAATATGGTACCAATCTTGGTAGACATCAGCGTCGTTCTTATGATGCAATAAGTCATCTGTAAGCATTGATAAATAAACGAAATTTCTAATCCGCGAGGCGATTTGCCACCGATTCCTAATGCCACACGATGGTGTTCAATTGATTATCACCAGGAGAAACAGCAGCACCGGCCGATATCGCTAGACTGCAGCCCGCAACTAACAATAGTGATAGAAATATACAGGACAGAGCAGCTTCCAACCCTGTAGTATCAGTATTCGTCGGCCAACGTCTCCTCGATCAGAAAGCTTCGACTGGACACAGTTCGGTAGACTGCGAACATAACGTTCGCATTCAGTATTTTTGACTGGACGAAGAAGCTATTACTGCACTATTATGCGATTGATCGCATCGTACTATAATTACCGCTTTACAATATCTACAAGCCGAGAACTATGGTTCTGGCCATCATCGATGCTATTGCTGGCAGCGGTAGCGAGTGATTGGGTCGTCTGTGAAGATGATCATCTGGATGGGAAGGACCACATCGAGGAAGTTTGGCCCCCATCACCTATTGCAAGGGCCGCAGCCCTGCTGCGGCGGACACTGTGGTTAAGGACAGTCGGTGGCACCAATTCGACGGCGACAGCAGCCAATGCGGCTGTTTGCAATGAACAGCCGTTACGAGCCACTTGTTTATGATGTCGACTTTCGAAATGGGCGCCGTAACTGTTTCTTATAAGTGTTGCATCAGATTATCCTCAGTTACATCATATACGGTGCTCAGCTATATAGTAACCTTGTATAGTAAAATACAGTAACGTAAAACTTCAAAAGACAGACTATACAATTACCACAATGCCAATATTTTAAGACGGTACGAGCGAGTTTGTCAGCAGGCGCATCCTTTTCGGCTGTACGGCCTGTGAGTTCCATTTGCGTTTGTCGCCTCAGGTGCTCCAACAGGTCTCATTTGTGAAGTCTAGCCTTTTCATGTAGTACTACTAAAGGCCTAGCAAAAATCTGACACAAAATGCACGAACTCAAGAGCACCGAAATGATCATCATTGTCATCTTCATTCGCAGAAAACGGAATACAACAGCGTCCTTATAATGCCTTTATAGAAATGATAGAAAAGATCATTGGCCATTAACGTTGCTGCTGGTTTGGCGTCCTCTGTAGGCGGTAGGCCGGGTCTGAAAATCGAGTGCGTCAGGATGAATGTGATCGCTAAGAGATGTTAGGGGAGGGTGGAAGCATGGGAGTGTGAGGACAGGACACAGTCTCAGCCCCCCGAGAGCGACGGAAAAGGTTCTGATTCACTTACTGACTCTATTTGTCGTTTACCCCGAACTATCCCATTTTTTCCCCCTTTCCCCGGTTCACTTCCTCAATCTCTCCCTCATTGCTCAGCCAGAACAATCATTGACCAACCCTAATCATTAATTTGGCTGTTATTTCGTTTTTTGGCCCATACAAGGTGCACGGCAACTTGGAAAAGTAACTTCTTTGACTGCGAAATCTCCCGTTCTTCCTTCCGCCTTGAGTTTCCTGGTAGCCTGTCTTATTTTTTCAGTTCATTCTAACTATGGACTGACGTTCTCACAGTTTCTGTTCTTGTACTCCGCAGCGCTTTCCTCTTCGGTCTCCGATGTTTCTGGTGGGCCGCAGCGATCCAGTGAGGGTCCACCTTGTCGGTAGCCTTCGCGATAGAGTAATCCATTGTCTGCGCTTGAACTGTTAGGGCGTCGCTGTTCTATTAAAGCCATTCAGAATACTCAAGCTGCCATATCAAAAGAAACCAATCATTCAAGCTAATGGCGTTTCTATCACTGATCAGCTCATAAAGAGCTTTTTAATCATTATTATTATAGTATGCTATATTAAAATATTAACGCTTAATACTTGCTTGACCACTCGACTGATACCCGAGCGAGTACACCATGTGTGTCTCTCTAAGCGTTTCTAAAATGTGCTACCTTTTACTGCGACAGTGGCTCTCTGTCAGCTTTTATGTAAACCTTCACATAGTATAGTAAATCCCGCTCATATGGGTTGTAGCTATAATTGAGGTCACCGTCTCCTGACTGTAGGCTAGTGCCGGGGATCATGCAGAGCGAGCAATGATACTGATCATACCGCCAGTTGCAATGCCTAGCAGCCATACCGCTAGCCGCACTACGAGCTTTTGCTTGTGTAAGATTGGGTGCTGTGCTCTGTTGGATGCAACCCGCAGCCTGGCCAACTGGGAGCGCATCCTTCCGCTCTCGCGGTCCAATTTCGTCCATCCCGCCACAACGGAGCGCCACAAGAGCAGGGTGGCGAGTTGTCGAGTAAGAGCGGAGGTTATCCAGGGGGTGGCGCCTTCCCCTTGATAATAGGCGAAAGAACGAAAACGAAGTGATTAAGGGGAATAGGAGAAGAAATAGAAAAGGAGGAGAATTAATAAGGAAAAAAGCGGCAGGAAGAAATATAGGAAAATAAATAGTTCGCAGGTTTGCTCGGTAGGGCAAGGGGCGATGGACATAACAAAGACGTCAACGTATTTGGGAAAGCGGCTTTTTTGACTCATAATCCCGCCGCTGCCGATAGGCAGCATCGTTTGATAAAGAAAAATTGTTTTTTGGAACGGCGGGATATTTCAAAATCCGAAACGACCACAGATGTGCGGGTACCATACCTGAGCCAGATAAGATTTAGACTACATTGAAATTGATTATAATAACAAACTCATTTTGCCTGTTTGTAGCTGACCCTGAATTAGCCAACTGAGCTATGTCATTTTATAGTCCAATTAATAGCGGAAACTCTTCTGCTGCCCAATACGTAACATGAAAGATATCACAAGATAAGTAGATTGCGATATTTTTAAAAATGGTACATTTTAACATATTTACTCGCCGGCCGCAAGTGTTGATCTTACCAAAATTTTCCTACAAACTCTAAGGTAATGGTAAAAATCAGTGGGGCACTTACCTATTAACTATATAAAAATTGTATACGTTACAGTTTCTATCATGTAAACACGAAACGTACTATAATGTTCTAAATATACATTATTTTCCAGTTAATATCCGCTATGACAAGTCTGTAAACTGCGAGCCTTTTAACAGCATTCCACTTAACGTATGTTATGATATAAAGTGGCCTCGGAGGCAATCGTTGACCGTCATTACTTGCCCATCGATTGTCTAAAGTTGAACTAAAAGATCCTGATCCCCTATTGATTAATTAGCGGACCTAATGATTGCTCTACCTGAAAAATTTCTGCAAATTTCTGCGACGACTTTGTTTGCTAATAGCATCATTCTTCTGTAAAGACCGAATGAATACATGATACAAGTAATTATAATCAATGAACTAATTACTCTAATTATCCATATATCCATAATAATAACAATCCAAATTATGACCTGACTATCGCATATATATTCATTAATTAATATATATTTCAATGGCCGCTACATTTAACGACCACTATGTCCCACGGTTTCGAAATTGTTCTTGTTTGGTTTGGTTTATTTTGACCAAGATGACTGGTCACGCACATGTACCACACGCAAGTCAACAGACCACCACATAACCTGACATATTATTTCATGTCAGGTTATTTACATCGTTCTAGGTACATATGATTTGACGTTCGTGTGTTCGCAGCTGTCCTATTAGCAGAAGTAGGTCATCGACCGATGTCGTCAGATCACTCTGTACTGCTATTAGTGGCAATATTAGCCAAGCCACGCGACCCGTCCCTAGGCTGCTGATTGCAGTAGCAGGATTAGCTGAACAGGACAAGCAGCACGCGTTTTACTACTGTTGTCTACCTATATTTTCCGTCGGCCATATTTACTACAGCTACGGCCACACAACTCTGTCACCTCTTGTGTTATTTTCTTTTTCTCGATGCCGTCCTAGCTACAAGTAAATAATCATCCCTGCAGTTTCGTATCCCAGTAACCCATCTTTTCCTTCTGCTGACCGCTGACTTCGTTTCTGCCGCTGACCTCTCCTCTTCTCCTTCAGCGTATCGTGCTTGTTGTAGTCCTTCTCTGGCCTTTTCCATGGCCCAACCCGCATGCGCACTCTGTGTACAAGCTCTATTGCCTCTTGCTCATTTTTACTACTAAAAATACATGCTGGCGTTTTTTCTCGTTTCCTCTGCCGCTTTTTCTCTCTCTCTCTACGCACTGCGTCATCTCTGAACACCTGGAGTATGGCGATGTGCTTCTCTGCCCAGTTCAACCTAGTCTAACCCAGGTTACCGCTAGACGGGCCGTGGCGAGCCTGTCCCAGGCCGCCAGCACGCGTCCTCCCTTTCTTCTTCAATGCTGCCGCCTTCCTTCGTTTCTCTCAGTCACCCACCTCACCCACCCCCGGCCAGAGAGCCCGCCAGCAGCAACGAGTCGGCTGTCGGCATAGTAGTAGCAGCCTCAGTAGAAACAGCAGTGAACACCAAAAGCAGCCTCACCAGCGGGGGGGGGGGGGGGATAGTGAGAATAGACTGAGCGCGCGTGCGGCGAGTTTCAAGCCCGCCAGAGGCGCCACCGACGGCTGCAACCGCTCCCTCCATTATCACCGTCACCCACCCAGCAGCATCGCCACCGCCGCTGCTCGCGCCACCGCGTTGTGCGCTCAGCGCTCGGTCGGCTGCTATTGCCGCTCCGACCTCCGCTGCCGCCGCTGGTGGTTGGTGTCCACCGTCGTCGTCGTCGCCGCTTCTAGGTGAGTTGCGTGCTGACACCGTAGTTCTATCGGTGATGTCTGCCGTGCGCGCTGCTGCTGGCAGCCCGCCGTTGCCGTTGTTCTCGACTACCTCTCCGAATGACAACATGTCGCCGTTCGCGTAGAGATCGAAGAGCGAGCGGTAGCCAGCGACCAACCTGCCTGCCTACCTACCTGGCCTGTTAGCTGGCTACACTACGACGGTCGGCAGCAACGTTGAGTCGATGGTCGGCGCTGCTGCGACCGTTGCGAAGACAGAGGGCGCGCTTATGGGTAGGCCGGACAGGGTATGCGTGTGTCGACCGACTGGTCGTGGTCAACGCGCAAGCCCGAGTTAAGAACTGGCAAGACAGAGCAGGACATTGCAACAAGAACACAACGAAGCAGCGGATTAGAAGGCCACAAGGCGTCGGGCGTAAGGAAACAAGAAACGAACACAGACGTCGTCATCACCTCTCCTGTAAAAGCGATGAAGATGACCAGACTATACTTGCATGATAGTGAGGCTGGGCGAGTGAGTAGCGTAATGCTACTGCCAAAACTGCTTTTACTAGCACAACAATCAGAAGAAAAGATCAGTGAGATTTAGTAAAAGAGTGTTGAGTCTGTCTGCATGTATGCGTGTGTGTGTGTGTGCATGGGAGAGTGTTGTTAAATGGAGAATCTGTACTGGTGAGAGTGAATCCGAAAGCCGAGAGTCAGCTCCCTGGCTCGATTGGGCTAATTGAGTGCCGACGATCTGTGACGGCCCCGTGCGTAATCGTAGGCCGAGGTCGTTGCACGGTGGTGATCCCGGGTTTGTGCGTTCCGTGCATGTGCTGGCCGTGCCATGCACGTCTGTGGCTAATCTCCGCCGCGTTCTGTATCTGATCATTACGCTGTATCGCAGTACCACTACGGCCGGAGTCGGATTTCGAACCCGTCTGTAGTGCTGTCGCTGACGGCGTAACCGCTCGAATAGCAGCAGCCACGCGACGGCATAGCAACATAGTATTTACGTTTGTCACTCCGTCCTTTGCTTATAGTTGTCGTCGTTCTTGCTAGACAGACAAAGCAAAACTACAGTAATATCAGCAGCAGCAGCATCAGCAGCAGCAGCAGCAGCCTGCGAACACATGACCCAAAATGTGATGAACGAAACGACACCAATATCGAGGACGATGAGGTCGCTAGCAGGGTAACCACAGAGAGTAAGAACAGGACAGCTTCACGTACGTTGTGCGATAGCTATAAAGAGCTTTAAGGAAATCGACACGGTGGACGCACGTAGAAAAGAGCAGCGCGCTAGGTGACCCCGCAACACCAGAGGCAATAGCGGCCGTACAGAAGAGCTAGGCGGCTTGCTAGAATATAGACGGAACGAAACGACCAAAGTGCTGGCGAAGGCGTTCGTTGCGGTTGTAGTGGCTGGCGTGCTGCGTGTGTCCTTCAGGGATTGTGCAAGTTCATCATTGAAAGCACTGACGAGGTGCGAAGGTCTGGGAAAGCATAACGCTGCCACCATCTCGCTTGTCGCGCTGTTCTAAAATAATGAGCGCACCTAACGGAACACACCAAAAAATGGAAATAGGGAAAGAAAAACTAAAGAAAGATCTAAGGAACAACGTAACCTCGAAAAGCCTCGAGATAGTAGTGCTCCTATGTCGTGGAGTACAGAGTGTTAAGCGGATGACGCGTATAATGCTTATGCTGAGTTTGGTGCTGCAGATGTAATAACTGCTCAGGTGCAGTTTGAGCAGTGCAGCGGTAGGGGCCGCCGTCGAAAAATCGTGCGATGAAATCGATACAAATCATGCACGCCCCGCTCGTGTCCTAAGCAATGATTTAATCTATAGTGAACACGACAAGGAGAGCACGGTGAATGTGTGTATGATCTTCACAAAACCCGTCACGTGGAGTATAAAGGGCGCGGCACGTTTCAAGAACGAGATGTTGGGAAACACGCTAACCGCCAAGCGACACGGGGGTCCCCCGCTGCATCATGTTGTCGAAGAACAGCAACAACAACAGCTGCAACGACAAAAGGCGCTACGCGAGGACGGTGTCATCCTCGACGCCGACGGCCAAAGGAAGTAAAAGGTACCTAAACTTAATTCAGCTCTACAACAAGCAAGATGGAACCTGAATGAATCAATTCAATTGAGACATCTAGCTTTTCCTTTTCCGTTGTAACGACTCTGACTTTCTATTGATCGGCTGCATATCGGCGTCGATCTAGCTGCGCACACACAAAAGGAAACACCATCTTTCCGCTGAAGTATGATTGTATTCTTGACGTTCTGCTTTAGGTAGGTTTCTTGTCCGTCCTAGTAAATATTCTCCTCTGCCGTTTTCCTTTGCCTACGTTAAGCTGACACAGTGTCGGCTGTGCGCTAGATCCAGTATCCACCCCGCAAGAAAACACAACGAGATACCGGTTTAAACCTTTCTAACTATTATCTTTATGCAGCTCTTCCAAACAACCTATTTATGACGAATTCATGTATTTGCACCCACTGTACGCGTCTGTTTCTCCACGTTGCTATATCGTACGTTAAAAATAGCGCTTATGTTCCCTGAGATAAGTACATACGTGTTTTAATGATTCCCCAAATCCATCCAAGTCCAGCTCTTAAAATATTGCGGGCATTGACACCAAGCCAGTGAGGCGTGGATATGATGTCCTGGTGATCGCGATGCCGTGTCAGTTAAGGGCCGATTAGGTCCTATCTCCCAAGGCATGCCTCCCTAAGACGACCTACTGTGTCACTAGGACAAACTTATAGACTGCTGCTTCTGACCCTTCTCAAAAGTTGTTCATCGGTCTTCGTAACCGTCAGCGCTAGTGATGGTTACACATCACATTTCGTGGAAAGGAATCACTTCGCTCGCGAAAATTTTTCCTTGGGCGCCACAGAAAAGTACCCCAAAACCAATAGCTATCTTTACTCCCGACATAGCCTCATCGAATCGATACAACCGAGTAAGACATTCGCTACGACGGTACTTCTTGGCCAGGCCTCTCCATTCGCAGCGAGCTGTTATACTCCCAGTCTAGCCTAGATACGCCCTAAGCTGTTTTGCTCGTTATTAGAAAGCCAGTAGATTTCCACTGCTGTTACCTATTCCATTCACAAATGCTTGAATGCGTGTTTATATTTTACCTGCTACGGCTGCTGCTGTTGCGTTTTACCGGTAATGCTTAGCACAGGCTTCAAGCTTGACCCTACCGCTTGACAGCTGGGCCGAAAATGCGTTTCTGACAGTTTCTCGTCTGTCTATTTGTCTGTTTGTACGCTCACATGACTGACTTCTTTTCTACTGAGTCTCGTCGCCACATACTATATTAGCTGAAGGATGCTCTCGATCAGCCCGTAGTAGCAGAGAAGGAGGCATCCATGCCTAATAGTGGGTTGGCGACAATGGCCCATAGTTAGCAGCTGTCGAAAAGCAGCTGGAATGGCAAGACACAACTGAATGACAGTGATAAAATAGCATCTGCGATATAGTAACTAAATGTTATAAATAGCAAAATACTGCAATTGCTATCATTGTTATTGTGAGTGTCACTCGAAATTGTTTGCGACGCAATAGTGCTTCGTAGAGTTAGCAACTGAAGCCATTAATAACCGTTCACCAAAAACGTTGTGCATAACGAGGGCGTAATTCGAAAATACGTCTCGTTGAAGCGTGCGCTCTAGTGAGCTAAACGACTAAACCGGCAAGAAATAAACGGAAACCAATACAAATGTTATCAATTTGAAAATAAAAGAGTTGCCACTATACAGACAATCTTATTAAATTAAGAGCTATAAAGTACTAACCAATTTGCCCTAATTCTCTTTATTAGTGCTGACGATATTTTTCTAATTTCCTATCTAATCATTGCGTCTTATACGAGTTTCAAACCACGACGCATTTTGTGTCAGGTCACTGTTCCTGTCTTCTTCAAAGCAGATCTCTATGATAAACCTTTCAATGTAGAAATCCACTTGTTAGTTACTTGGCCTGTCACCTTCAATGAAGAACAAAAAAGCATATTCTCTATAGCTATAGATATATAGAGAGAACGGGGTGAAAGTGTCTGGACAGTTCGAGGATCTTTATCTGTTACAGTAAAACATAGTATAAATAGGAGTTTAGAAAATTTAAATGAGCATTGTTGAATTATTTTTGTGATTTCCCTTAAATTGTGAAAAAAAAAAAAAGCTTTTCTCTCGCTTTGTGTAAAATTTATCAAACGTCTGTTTTTCTAAAATTCAAATTAAACTTAATATTTGATTTAGCGACACCTCGTCGATGTGTAGCGGGCTTAGACAGGCAGTGAACGAGATTATTATCCGTTGTTACTGAGTTAGGGAAAAGCCTATCGTTTATTCATTATTCTATATAGTATCGTTAGTTGCTCATTCTACAAATTGATACCAGTTCCAATTAATAACATTATCTCAAGTTCCTATGAGATAGGAGTGCACCAGAGGGCATTTTCAATATCTACGTGTAGCTGTCAAATAAAAAAAGTTTAAAAATATATTCTAAATAGCTAATGAGTACAAAAACATGCCCGTTCGACTCATGTCGGTTAAACTGACTTGGTTGGGTAGACATTTTTCGATCGGCGTCTAGAGAGACATTTGTAATTAATGCGAGAGTACGTTGTCTTGCGTTGAGTGCGGCGGAAGAGATTGGACGGCGTTACATCGTCAAGCCACCGTGTTCACGTTCCATGGTGTGGCCAGTTGGTTGACAAGTGAATCTACCTTCAACGAATCGAAAAAATACTTATTAATAGTAGTTTATTTATTTACTATGAAATCAGACTAAATTCATTCTGTCTTCCATACGTTGGTACAGTACAATTATACTGTTATGGACAGTCTTTCTTATGCAATTCAGGGTTCTCAGCGTAAATTGTGAGTGATCATGAGTCGAAAAAGGACAAACGGGTGCTGCCCAGCCGGCCCTGTTATTCGTCTCTACACTTAGCCTCGGCCTGATTTTGTTTTTACTGTAGTTTCGTCGTCGGACAACTCCATCTTACCGTGTGGGAACATATGAAAGCTTAGAGTGCAAAAAAACTCACGTCCACCTTGACTATAACTAAGATTTCTTAAACGATAAATAAACGAATCTCTATTAGATCAGCAGAGCGAAGCTCTACTGGCGACCAATTTTGGACTGAGTATAGGTAGTTCTGCAGTAGCGGCATGTATTAACGCCACAAAAGCCCCCATATTTGTTGTATTTAAAAAACGCTTACACCACATATTTTCCGAAACATGCTGTCCGTCTAGCGAGAGCATCTCAAAATATATAGGTCTGACGATATTTTTAACGGACAGCTTAATGGACTGAAGCTCGTTTAATAATGTTGTATACATATACTCTGTCAAGCACATCGAGGAGATTTCGGATATTTACAAAAGCTATCCATAATGAACGAAGTAATTCAAATCCACCAACGCGAATAATTTGATAGAGGGATAATTAAACCTCATTTACAGGTCTCCTTTGCACAAATCTTCCTAAGGCAGCCACTTATAGTTGTCGGCCGAAAACAAACATACATTTTAAGTACTGATTGGAATTTGTAAAAAAATAAACACGCTACAACGTTCCTTTATTTATTGTAACGAACAATGTCCTTCTGACAGAGTTTGCAGCCACGGTATCAACTTTATTCTACTTTTCGATGTTCGTGATCTTTTGCAGCTGGCTCCGAATTTAGCCCGTCTGTTGATATCAGCCGTAACCGATAGCATTCAATGCATTCCCTTTAATAATAAACTCTCGCTTATATTTGCTTTAGATAAACGCGCTGCGGTTTGACGCGCTCTGGTGTAGGGAATAACTTTTTTTCGTTTTTTCCAACGAGGCGTCTATCCAGTGCCGACTTATCTTTAGTGAGGAGGGAGGGGGAGGAGCGTCACTGATTTGAACTTTGTCAGGCCCGGCCGTCCAACGATCCGAGTAAATCAGGCGCCAAAACAAAGCGCTATTGAGGGTTGTATGCAAAGCGACTAAATTCTGAGATTCGACACGGGCCGCATACGTTAAAGCCGAAAAAGAATATCAGCGTAATTTTTATACGAGAAAGATTGCGATAATATATAATCAAAGACTGTGGGTGATAAATCTGTTTAGTATACGTGTTTTTGCTACTTATTAGTATTATTCAAAGGTAGCACAATGGGCAACCGCGATTTTACTCCGAAGTTGAATCCTTTACCTGCTAAACCATATAAAAATCAATAGCTGCGAATTTCTATCACGTTATCGAAACTGGACGCTACAATGAGCAGCAAGCAATCACACGCCGTAAATAACGTATATATACGTACTCTGTATGCGTTATCTGTGTATTTTTGCACAATTTACGACCAGACTACGTTATTTGCGATGCGTACCGATATTTAAAATTATAAAAGGGTTAGTCTGGTTTGATGAGAGTCATAATTGTGCTTATAATAATTGTGCTTACATTATTAGGCAAAAACGTTCGAAGCCTATTGCAGCTTGTCGACACGGTACGTCTGTGTTAAGTACAGATATGGCGATTTCCTTGTCGTGCTCCCTGTTCGACTGAGATCGCCAGAAGCAAATAGTTGAGCTGATTCAATAGTAGAAAAGGAATTACAATGGTCTCCGTCGATTCGGTGAAATATTTGCCCTGGAGGCGGTAGCCTTGTTCAACGAGCTCCATACGGCCCCGTATCTAATTGTCCTCGGGCGTTGCTGTTGTAAGCCAGCGACTGAGTATTTACCCAAACGACTACGTACTCCGGCCCCTGTCACCTTATATTTACACCTGGATTTGGCATAATGCCTTTATTGCTTCATGCGTTCATCTGTGTAGGTACGTTCATACTTATTGAATTGGCTCCATATTGACTGGTACGAAACACACCGTTATTGCCACGACGGTAACCTACCTTAGAATTATTCAACTACAGAGAGCCATTAGAATATGCAAATCTAAACCTATACTTCGCCGTTTTATGTAACTGCAATACGGAACAATCACAAAGCCGGCTGGCACTGTATTTTCCTTACACGCCCGCCATGTACGAAAAATTTCTACATGAGCTGCGCTATAATAAACGGTTACTAATCAACTAGTGATTAAAAAAATCCCAATTCAATACAACCGAACTCATACACAATGCAGTCCATCTAGCAAATAAGTTAGGACAAATTGTCGCCATTGGCAAGCCAGATGACCGCACCGTACATTATTCAACGTTAACCAACGAAGAATCTCAGTTCATTCCTACGAATTCGCGTACGAGAGAAGGAACGATCTTGGAATAGGACCCACATAATTTGGCCGTCTGCGGTGTCGCTTTTTCCATACCTCTTATAAACCTGACAAATAACTGCAGTGCTGTCTTGAAAAATCGCTTGCCACTGTGATAGGCGTTATTTTATTCCTGATCGTGCTAGTAACTAACGAGGAATGCTGCTAGTTGAACTCCTTATCTTTAGCTTTGCTTACTACCTCCCAAAGACAAACCCTTTTCTATATCGACATGGTCACAATTCACGATGAGGTTCACTGCTTCCGGCCGACCGGCATTGAAGTGGTCGGATTTTCGATGTCCCGTTTCGATTACTTTGATGGCCTTCGTTGTCTATCTCTCTAGAGCTAAAAGCTGCAGTGAATGCATAAATAAAGTAGTTCCAGATAGATTCCTGTTGTAGTAAATTAGGTAATGAGTAGGAATTCATCCTTCGACCGGTCCTTACCACCAGTTGGACAGATGTAAGCTGGTGTGACGGTGTATGGTAAAGCTGCTAAATTTCCAGGTTTGCAGGAAAGATTGAACCCTGCAGAATAGATTAGGTCCTTGTTTTATTTTGGGAATAGGGTGGAGACCCAGCGATTGAAATTGAAAACGGCAGGAGACGGACGTGATTATTCTTATAAGGCTATGGCCTTAGTCCTATTTCCAAATATTCCTTGCGCGAGCCACGTGTACTGTTCCGTACTTGTTCATCTACAACCAGCTCCTCTAAAATGTTCTTTTCTCTCTTCATTTGCCCCCGATGCCCAGCACACTTCACGAAAAATACGGCAGCTACGTTATTTCGTGACAACTATTTACGTCATACGCCCATTACCTTTATGTATTCCCCGTATTTCTGCGTAACTAATGAAGTGAATTTTTCTCATATTACGCAGGTGAGTGAAGGAGCAGGCCAAATGCACACTCAGTTTGATCTACTAAACACCGCCTGATAGGCCTGCACTCGAGTACAGCGCTGTGAAGAAACGGCGATGCTATTTGCACTGAAAAAGCATATGATCGAGAGAAAGCTTGTCTCGGGATTGTCAAAGGCCGAAATAAAATGTCGATGAATCGATAGGAACGTGGTGAGACCCGTGAGTTTTTGGATGGAAACAAACACTGCGCGCATGTCTGTTTGGCAAAAAAAGAAACAACAGGAACACAAAGGTCAGGCTTTATGTCACTACAAACGACGCAGAGAGGAACGGCAACGCAGATAAAAACGACGAGGGCTTGGAGCGTAAACAAGCAAAGTTTTCTGTTTAATAGAAAAGATTACCAGCGCCGAAGTACTCGAAAAGCAGCGGGAAATATCAAACTCAAATAACAACGGCAAAATAATTAACACTTGAACAGAAGATCGAACCGAAGAGGCCGACAAGACTGCCACCGAAAGGGAAGCGTCGAAGAACTTGCAGATCAGCCTCGCCGTCATCTGCTTCGTCAGTCTAACTTTGATCGAATTATCAGTATTGGCGTTGTTATTGTACGTATTTACGCAACGTACCAAGGAAATGAGCAACGAAGGCGGTGAAACAGGCGATGAAAAGGGCGGTACTGGAGGTGGCGGGGATGGCGGAGGAAACGCGATCACGGGTGGAGGTCTGCCGGCGAACCTCCTGCCACCCCCTCCGGCGCCAGCCGATGCTTCTGCTAACGGAAGCCAACAAGGGGACGATGAAGATATTATTCCGTTACAAATATTCGTTCCCGAATTAGTGCTTCAGGTGAGTAAATAATGGGACAGCACAAAAAGAATAGAGTACGTAAGCATACTGCATATGCAGAACTTGTAATTCGGCCGAATGATTTGTTCTTCAGTTTAGGTTTCGTAGATATTAGTGGTGATTTATTTCGATTACTATTGAAAAGTTGGTGGTTGGCGAAAGCATTGCTTATTGAGCATTTTATTGTGCTGCATTAACTTCGTCGACAAGTCCGGCGGATCTCATGGCGTAGTATTTGTACACGAACATTGAGAATATATATAGATTTAAAATGGTTTCGGAGCAACTGGATATTTTTCTAGCTACCACGGAGCAGCTGCTGTGGTACGTTTTCGATAAGTGTTTATTTCGAATGTATTGAATAGACTAAATCTCAACTTGAACGAAATAAATGTCGGCGGAAATAATTTGTATTGATTCACTTACCCTACTAGCCCATGGGTCATGCAGCCTATAATTGTTTCGTACTGAGAAATTCGCTCGAACTAAGATCTTAACATCCTATCCAATACGTACTCGTACTATTTGCACTGTATTAGGTTCATTGTGATCCGTTGGACATTTCACATGTTCAGTGCTCGTAGAGATTGGTCATATTACTAGAAACCCTCGTATTGCAGGATTAGATAGTTGGAAAAATTGACGACATGTTATCCTCTCACCAAATGTGTTTGCCCTATTAATATGATACGAAGAATTATATCGTACGATGTTTTACGTTGGCTAGTTCTTCTACGTGTCTGCTTTTTCAATAGATTTACTATTAGTTTCGACTTATAGGTTGTCAGAAAGGCACACGATGTTTTTATTATACATTTGGATTTCTCACTAGTACCTTTTGATGCCAGACTGATCAGTCCGGTGCGCCTATACCGGCGGAAGTCAACCGTTGCGGTTAGATGTAGCTCGTAAGCCTCCGAGGTGCTGTCGTCTATATTAGTCTCGAGTACTTCAGGAACGAAGTTTCTAGCATGAATGAAACTATAGATATATTTGTGCGTTCGACGTCTTGCTCGACATTTTCCGCGTAAAGCCGGTCTTCATAATTAAACATTCTATCGGATACGTCATACGCTAGAGCATGCCCAAGAAGAGTATAACCTGCGGCAAAACGCTCAGCTTCGAAGTAGGTACGCCCGGCCTCAATAGCCCACTTTGGAGAGTTGTTTTGATAGATTTTTGCTGGCTGGTCAAGTTTCATCTTATAGTGGGATGAGCTGTTGGCAATAAACTGAGTATTGCAAGACAATTTCTTATAACTCGGATTCATTTTGGGCGGTAACGTCGGGAATCTTTGAAAAGTCAATATTGAAAAGATAGCTATTTTAAGCACTATAAAATAAGCGGAATTCAAAGGTTTCACATGTGTGCCACTGAAGGGTAAAGTAACGATTTTTTGATTCTAAAACAAGTTAAATGGAACCAGTTATAGGGGTTAGACAAACATTTCAGCGAAAGTGTTTGCAAAATCTACTATTTTTCATCGTGTACGGTGAACTCGATGTTCTGCAGATCTTTGTAGTGAGTAAACCGATAATTTGTATATAATGCTGATGAAGCGATAGAATGAACTGAAAAAATTATACACACTATAGCTAATATGCAAATCGAATCTGACGGAGTTTCAAGCTAACTAGCTTTTGAACTAGACGTCGCTAGCAGACGAAATTTGGCTGGTAAACATTCCAATCTTCTAGAAATCTGCCAGTAAAAAGCGTTTCAGTTTACTCTAGAAGAAATTAGTTTCATAAAAAAAAGATCTTAAATCGAAGCTTAATATTCAAGTTTTGGGTGTTCGAGAACCAGATTGTTGCGAAGTTACATTGACATTTGGTGAAGACACCAAACGAGAAGGCTTTAAGCAAAAGTGAAGCTCGCGAATCGTGCAAACATTTCCACAATGGGAGCCAAAGTGGTGAAAATCAGTGAGGAGGCGACCAAATGTTACGACCCGAAAACACGTACCCGTTGGCACAATCGAACAGTATTTAAGGGCCTCTGCCGGCCGAAACTGCCATTTCACATGTTACATGTTACAAAATAACAACTCAAGCATTGAAAAATACGAAAACTAGGTAAAATATAAGTCCCTCATTAATCGACTTCAGGCGAATTGAAAATGCGCGCAATTTACGTAATTTAAGTTAAAAAAAAAACCTATCTGGAGCATACGGTCACTATAGAAGACGCATTGTTTAATCTCTGTCGCCAGTTAAAGAGTAACCAGACGAACGAACTGTGTCGCCCCGAAGAGAAACCGAATTCGGTAGCGGTGTCGAGCAGACCCAGATGAAAGGTGATTCTAGTAACTGCGATGGATATCAGTAGTATTTGCTACTATGAAATGCCCGCTGGAAGTGAGAAAATAAATTCAGCTTGCTATCTCGAGTTTTTTCGGAGGCTCACAGACCGGATGCAGCCAGTCTGCTTATTTGATGAAAACGCCAGACCTCAGAGACAGATTGAACAAGAAAATACCGAACCTTAGTTTCAACCCGCTTGTTCTCTCGACTTAATCCCATACAATTAGGCTCTAAAAAAGCAACCGGAAGCCCAGCATAACTCATTATCGATTTACTTTCAGAAACTATAAATAAAGAAATTCTATGTGGGGACATAAATGGTGAGTATATGGCTGTAAGTTGCTAGAGCGCTGGAACAAGTGTGTAGAAGATAAAGGAGAAGATCTGTGATACTTACATCAGAAAAGACCATCATTCTAACCAAACTAATTAAGATTCAATTTTTAAGTCCGCTGCCCTTGCTTACAATAGTCCTAAAATAAAAATAAAAAAAAACAGGGTGCTCCATTAGCATGAATATAAGGAAGAAATCACCCGTTATCACCAGCTGAAATAATGTGAGAAGTATAAAAGCAATCATTGTATCTTTACAAAAATGCATAGCCAAAAAGATCTCTGCTTAGTGGGAAACTACGTGAGCATTGTATCATCGTCGAGAGCCCAGCGAGGGTCAACTGTGTTTGGCAAAGCTGAGGTTTACTTCATACAAAAGGTACAACACCTGAACAAGTTTTATTTCCAAGTCCAGATCAATTGTTTTCTGAATGTACGAACATATTATTTGCAATGGAGGAGCGATACGACGAGGTCACTAGACCATTCTATTAAGAAAACAGGATTTGGGCAGTAAAAAAAAGATGGAGTTACGAAACCAGATACCGGTCCGTGTGGTACGAGTAATAGTACCAGAAGTAGTAATGCTCGAGATAGTTTAGGGAAATAAATTAGACATTGTCGATATTCGCTGATTGCCTCTTACTTGATATAATATTGATTCTAACATACAGATTTGGATATATTTTAATTTTTTTGTGCTTTACAGAAATGCTTCAATGTTCGGCGCGACGAACTTATCTGGGATATAAAACAGACAATTCTGTCGTCGCTACCCAAAGAGCTAAAGGAAAGCTTTAATTATGGTCTATACTGCCCACCTGTCAATGGTACGTGCATTTGACCTAAATTCAGAAAACTTCCAACATATATATACAGAAAACTCAAACAGACAAAAATCCATAGATAAATGTCAATAGAAAGGTAGCTGCGAATTTGGAAATATCTAGAGGACGCTCGTGAGATGCTTGTTGTCAAAAAGTTCGCTAATATCTACGCTTCGGTGATGCGTCCTCGATTGTACCTATGACCAAAGTTCTTTATGCACGCTATATTTACCGAGCATGTTAGGTTAATAGTTTCGAACAAAACTGTCTATTTAGTAATTTATGTCGAAAATTCGCTGTTTAGCTGGATGATACTATTTGGAGCGTTGCCCTTGGTTTTTATACGTGTTCCCACATCGTGTACATGATAATATGCGTCCACTGCTACTGCGCGCAGTAATTCCGTTTTAACCTATAATGTCTATCACATCGCGGTCGAGTGAGTGTTATCACGTGAAATAATATGATGACAGCCGACGTTATCGTCATTATAGAGTGCACATCGTCATTCTTGTACCGTAGTCCATCACCGATCGCCATCATTGACTGCGAGAATTTAGCTGGGCAGGCTAACACCAGATACGATTGCATTAGAACGGCCATATTGACGATACAGATTGTACTAAAGAGCGAGTTTAGAGCTCAGCGATTCTGCTTGTTTTGTAACTCCTCCGGCCACCAGTGCTTCGCCTGCGGGCTATTCCCAGGTTTCATATATATTTTTTATAATGATTTTATAACGATGGTCATTCTTCTGGCGCCCACGCAGCAGTTGCTTTCAGCTTCGCTCTTCGTCCATACTCTAAATAAATCCATTATGTTAAATTGCAATCACTGATTTATGAACGATGCCACAATATTTTCTCTGCGGTAGACATTTTCGGTAGTGGCCATCAGTACGCAATCAACATTGAAGGATGATGCATTTGTGGTAATAGCTATTGTCTCACAGTTTCCATTAATGGCCATAACAGTGGGGATTCGGAAACTTAGGTAGACGGGAACCGATGCACATTAACTGATACACGCGAAAACCTTTCTGGGCGTTTAGATTAATAAAGCGAAACGCTCAATTATATCTCAATGGAGTCGGGCCACAATGCACTATGTTTGATTGCGCATTCCCAAATTCGGGTCCGGTAGTTAGTGGACGACAAAGCCTTGATGACGTAACGACAGGGTGAACTAAAATATAATATAAGCCAGCAAAACACAGTCAGTCTAATTCATGTTAAGAGATCCTGGTTAGATCAGTTAAATACCTACTCTTCTTTACTTTATATAGGTATCACTCATACGTATCAATCACTCATGAATATCAGACACTTGCCTTAGTCACTGAAGAGAAGTTTCTGCGTGAAAATCTCTCTTGATCAATTGCACTTTAATTTTCAGGAAAATCGGGCAAGTTCCTGGATGAGGAGCGGCCTATTAGCGATTATCCTCTTATGGACCCAGTGGCATATCTCGAACTACGCTACAAGCGAAGGGTGTACCGCATGGTCAACGTGGACGAAAAGCAAATTAAACAATTGCATACGAGGGTACGCAGGGCAGTTATTTCTCATCACACATAAGTATCGATATCGAAAGCCCATTTAATATAACAGGTACTGTGAGATCGTTTTCGGAACAGATCTGCTTTACTTCGAAAGGCGATTCCATTGCTTGAGCTTAACCGTTATTAAGTACCGGTTTTTTTGCTATTCAATTGCTATAGAAACAAATAGACAACAATTAGTTCTTTCCAAGTTTGTCTATCAAATCCCTTCGATGCGACAAGGAGTGGTGCATGTGAACGCGGGGGTAGAGACCATATGCGTAAACATATTTATGCTGGCACATCATTTCCCAGAGCACGTAAAGCTGGCTTATCTTAGTAAAGTTATTTTCGAATTTCAAAGTCATCTAATAAAATAGGTATCGTACGCGCTCATAAACGTCAATGGTAACGGTAAGCTTCGTCGTACCTCGTAGAAGTCTAATTGGCCTATTAATTGATTTGGAGAACAATGGAGAACGTTAGTTGCCGAAAGGATAATTGAAGAAGCACTGCTGAATGTCTCAATAAACAAAAATAACACTACATAATAGAAGTGCTGCTTACTAGAGTCTGCAAGAAGAATCGTCTGCTATCTGTACCATGAATCTCTTGAAGTGCTACTTCGAAAAAGTTACGTATGTATAATAGTACATGCGTATCAAATGAAATAAACAATTTAATATCTCCGCCAAATGAACAAGTGCTTGCTTGGCTAGCTTCGCCATTCAATCAATCATCCAACCCTATTCCTGTTAAAATAAAAAAGTTCCGTTTCGGAGTAATAGCGACACCTGCTCAATACGAAACAAACAACATGACTAGACGAACATACACACAAATACGCGATATCAGATAAAGGGAATTTGTTGCTGTTGTTGTCGATAGCTGCCGGCATCGTCGACGAGGAGAAGGAAAACGTAGTATTTCGAAAAATATCGAAGACGGATTATTTGATACCAGTATCGTGATCCTGTCTTGTGTGGCGTTGTGTTGTTCACTATTAGATATATTCGCTCGATATGTAGCATGCGCACAGATTAAAGAATAGCAATGAAGAGTTCTAGCCAATGCTATTGCAGCCAGCGGCAGTAGCGCCAGTCGTCGAGTGGTGGCAACCCGATGCCGATTTATAGGAAGTATGCCGATTTGCTCCCTATGAGAACCCTTTTCGGCTAAATCGACAGGGCTTGCAGCAAAATCGCCGTCTGGCTGAACCCGTTTTCAGTTGAATTTTTAACGGAAGAGAGCTAAGTCTTCGTGAAGTTCAATGGGCAATGGGAGGAAAGAGGAACATTTACTAATGTATGTGAAACACTTGCTTCCCTTTATGAGTGTGGGATTCGTTAAAAGCAGATTAAATACACAGATTGTTTGTTAATTAATAGTAAAAGTAGTAGGGACCATTTCCGTATTATATGTAATTCACCGGATTAGTGCCATAGATGATGCTAGACATTATACGTTCTATGCATCTACACACTATCGTGAATAAAACACCATACGAACAAATCGCTTTGTAAAAGAAACGTTACGCTAGACTAGTACAGAGAAAATAACCACATTCGTTCATCGGTATAATTTAACGTCATTTTAAGGCCAACCTTCGTCGATTGCTCGATAGCGTGGGCAGCGGGAACGTGGAAAAGGTAAACAAACTATGCACTCGCGGTTTGGACCCCAACTTTCACGATCCGGACTCTGGGGAAACCCCACTTACGTTGGCAGCCACGCTAAAAGCCTCAGGAAAACTCGTCATCGCTCTGATTAACGGAGGAGCCCTCGTCGATTACCGAACGAAGGATGGTCGAACAGCTTTACACCGAGCAGTCGAAAAGAACAACCTCGAAGCGCTCAAGGTATTTACTTACCGACGGGCATTACCCTAACAGAACTAGCAATTCGTTTATATTACAGATGATAAAGCAGCTCGCCTTTGCAGCCTGTCATGTGGCATTATTTCTATTTGTATTAAATACTAACATACACTATATAATGGTCTATATTGGCAGCAAAAGTCGGTGAAACGTGGTCTGCAAATATAGACAAATAACATCAAGCGATCAATTTTACTCATGTTGGGCTGACGAAGGAATTTTGCGTTACTTATTTCGTTCCTCTTGGCCGTATCTTTCCATCGATCTAAACAGACAATGCTTGACCTGGGGGCATCGCCCAATTATCGGGACTCGAAAGGCCTCACGCCGCTCTACTACACGATTACGCACGGCGCCGACGTGCAACTTGCTGAAATGCTACTGCACGACCATGCGGCAATCGGGGCCACCGATCCCCAGGGGTGGCAGGAGGTCCACCAGGTATGACCACAACAAGTTCACTTTACATATGGGCTGCAAAGTAAATAAACTATGTGCGTTAAATAAAAGGAAAATTACGCGTTCCTAGCCTATGTTATGAAAAACAGATCTTGAATACATACTCACTACAGCTACAGAGGAATCTACATATGCCTAATACCTGTAGATTTACGCATCTACAAATGTTTTATAATGCAGCGTCTTTACCTGAGCACTTTGATCATATGCTAGCGAGATTTTTTAAAACGGCGATTTAAATGTATATCGTGGGTTTGATTGATCAAGTATTTAAATTAGATTGTTTATATAGCTTTACGTTGTGTCCTATTTATCTTAATATTGAAAACACCCGCAAGTGCAAATTTTAAAAGTATCGACCAGTTTCTGGCTAGATGGCTTTAAAGTTACTTATCTCAGGCAATTTCACGGGTTGACGTTCACGTCAATTGAAGGCTCACATTTGGCAGTAGGAGATGTGCTAGGATTGTTAGAATACGTGTATTTATACATAAGATAGAGCGCCTTGAATATGAACGAAATTTCGTCAATAAAATTCCCCACAACTTCATTACAATTTTATTACGATAAAGCCACAAATCCAGTCCACACTCATTAGAAAAATGTGTTTGTTACTATTATTTATAACTCGTGACCAACCAACTCGTTGCGTTCCTGTAGAAATTCACAGATGGAAATACGATTGAGTGAATCCTTTTGCGTCAGTTCGTACGGCAACAATTGAAACACAAACGTCAAGTTTGTTTGTCTTCTTTTTTGTAACCAGTTTTTTTTTATATGGTTTATAACTGTCTGGTGGTAGATATTTAGTTTCATAGCTACTCATGTACTGGCTTTCATCAGTTTTCGTAACAATTTCATTGAATTCTGTGTAATTGGTCGACCACTACAAGGAACATACACCGAGAAAGTAACAGAATCACCTTTGAGCCATTTTGTCCGACGACGCGTCTTGATCATAAACCAGACCATTAGCCTGAGCAGAATTTGTGCCCATATAAAGGCGCTCTATTTTAGATCTGAATGAAGACATTTTAGCAAATTTACCACATCCACTACTGCCAAATCCTAGCTTTTAGGCGACGCCATGGCTGACCCAACGCGAATTAGACTGGTTGAAGAATTATTGGAAAACCATTTGGCTAAAAACGGTCAGTACTTTTTTCGACAATTCTCTATATATATATATATATATATATATATATATATATATATATATATGTACATGAAATAACCCAATTTAGGTTTGTCCATTTTCAGGCGACCATTCAGATTTACACTTATATTCAGATTCTTTTTGCACACATGACATTATTATTATTCGTTGGGGATAATGTGCTTTTTTTTTAAACATCCTTCCATGTGTAGTACCACAGATTTGTACCTATGTGATTTATTAGCATTCAGTAGATGTTGCTGAAGTTCTTTTTCTGGTAATTGTATCATCTGATGCTCCTAGGCGTGCAAACACGGCATGGTGAAACACCTCGACCAGCTGTTGTACTACGGCGCGGACATTAATGCGCGGAACGCTTCCGGCAATACGCCATTGCACGTATGCGCTGTCAACGATCAGGAAGAGTGTCTGAAGTGCCTCCTCAAGCGTGGCGCTGATACACAGGCGCTCAACTATGCCAATCAGACGCCATATCAGGTGGCAGTTATTGCAGGCAACCATAAGCTTGCTGATATGATTAACGCCCACAAGCCAGAACACGTTGGTAAGTTGATTTTCTGCCGAGAGTCAGGAAGATGAAAACTGGCCGAAATGGGAACGAAGACACAATATAAGCCTTTACAGCTAATACTGTAAATGGGTTTATCTACAAGAGAGTGCTCAATCGATTTTGATGCTTTTTAGATGCAAAAAGAAAAAAACAATAACTATCTCCCATTCATATGAATTGAATCAACTGCTTTTCAACAGGAACGAAGTCTGGTAAAACGAATTGCACTTCCACGATATTGGAAAATAGCCAGTCAAGCTCAATGGTTTGCCTGACGAACATTGTACGGATCGTCATCGCAGTGAACTCAGTAACGCATTTAACCTCAATGGATTGAGCACCCTCGTCTGATAAACAAGCTAAAATCAAATCGAAGATCATCGTGCTTCTTGTAATCAGCTGATCAAATGAAAGAAGACTGAATCACCATTCCAAACATAGAAAACACCAAAAACAGACCGTTCGTTAATCTCCGGCTAGAGAAGCACCCCGAACTCGCATTGCTGTCCTTTGCCATAGTATTGAATTACTACTTTTTCAAATATCTACAATTTCATTCTGTTCATATTGTGTTGCTAAAAGCACGTAATTTGTTGTTTATACCAGTTACTACTTGACGTTTTTATCATCGAAACGAATGATGAATAATAACGTGTTGGCGTTTAGCAAAAAGCGTCTTAGTTCGCTAAGCGTCTTAGAGTTTTTTGGCCAGATGATTACTGTTATTGCCGCTGCCTTCTTCTGTCTTGGAAATGTATAAACCACTGTACTGGTGGGTCGTTAGGTTTTTATGTAGCTTTATATCTATTAATTATTCAGTTCTGTTAAATGTTCAAAACGAGCAAAAGTAGTAGTGGAATAGTAGGTTGACACGTGCTCGTTCGTTGTGAATGCGTTCGTAACTGTGGATCTATCTCTATTACAAACTGCACACTAACCTTTTCATCACCGTGTATTTGTATGAATTTTTATTATAGCTGGCCGACTGATTAATTTTTATGTTGTTTCCTCTTCCAGCATTGTATTGAGAATTCTCTATGGCTTGATTTAATCAGTTAAATCTTTATCAATACTGTTGCTGATGGTAATAATCATGATTACTATTTATTGTTCATTCTGTTTTTACTGCTTCGACCGTAGGTACGTTACAGTGCTGAGATTTGGTGACGCTCTATAAGCGCTCCTCGATAGGTTGCAGACGCTCAGTCACGCCTTGCACGCAGGGTTCACATGTTTTCCACCTGCTACGACCTTTCTCCCATTGAGTCGTTGTGTTTGTCAGTATTCTACGATTGATTTATGTTAGACGAGCTTTTCTCAGATTATAACTCCGCCGAGTTCTAGACGACAGTTTTGCCCATACCTGCGTGCGTGCCCCCTTGGGTGGATTATTTCCACTGAGTGTGTGTATGTGTGTTCTTTTGGTGTCCGAACCATCTCGTTGTGCTTGAATGCTCTAAGGGGGTAGTCAGAGTTTTAATTTCTTCCATACCCTTTCAGCTTTACACAGTATAAATGACCAGACCACTGATCGCCTTTCGAAGTCAAAAGAAAGCGACATGAGAAACTATATAGATACAAAGTTCCATCTGTTTCGTTATGCTGTTCCGTGCAATCCAAGCTAAGCATTTGTAAACTGTACCATGTCTTCAGTCATATCTATGTAGCACATAGGAGTTTGTTAACAAAAATGCAAGCCCAAAACCACCAATGAAAAGGAATGACAAGGATGACAAACGTGATGAATGCTTCGAAGAGGATTTGCACCGCAGAAAACAACAGTAGTCAGCCGAACTCTATCACTTACAGCCTTACTTTAGACAAATTGCCAATAGGTCGAATTGCTGGTTTGCTTAGTCTCTATTTGCTTGATACTTCTGCACGTCGTCGACAATGCTAACGATGACTGGATAAAAATGAGTGCCAACCAAATGCAGATGACGACTGACAATTGGCTGGCATTAATTGTGGAAACAACCAAGAAAAATCAACCACTTCTATCCACACCTACTCTAGTGGCATTCGAGGAGGCGCCGTCTTACAACCCGCGCCGTCGCGTCTCGGCCGTGGGCGCGGTGCTTTCCTCGACGGTATCGGATAGTCGGCTGTATACGTCGCGGTCAGCGTCGGCGGCGCCCGCCTCGCGCGAGCCATCCGCCGTTCCCAGCAGCTCGGGTTATCCACCTTCCCGAAGCCCTTCGAACCGGTCTCTACCCGCTTTGTCCAGTGATACGCTCTCCATACACTCGGGGTCTACCTTCCAAGACGAGTTCGCCCTAGGTACGCAACAGTAGCGGCATAAAAACAATGAGCATACATCACCAACTCAAAAAGCAGTCAGTCACAATTACATGTGCAGTCTGGGAATAGTTTCTATAGAACATAGAGACTTAGGCTGGCCTGTTTCACGACTACTGCTACACTAAACGAGTGAAGCGTAAGAGGAGAGTGGAAGCGTACCTGCGAGACGAGGTCTGGACTTACGGAGCATAGAAGCTCTTATTAAAAGCTTGTACGGTGACACTAGAAGGTTGTGAGTCAGCCTAGATTTCGTGCCGAACTCAGTCTGCGACCTATCTGGTTTTATTTATTCAGTAATTTTCGCTCTAATTCGCAGTGGGCTGTAATCCATCAAATAGATGGCCTCTGTCGTGCACTGTTAGAACTGAATTTGTTGTCGCATTGTCAAAATAAAGTCCCTAGACCTTGCTTCGGAGGGTGAATAACTGCTGTGAGAGAAAGTCGAACGCCTGGGCGAATCTTTATTTCGTATCGGTAATAATATATAGCTTATAGATCATAGTCGTTCAATGATTCGGTTAAATAGGCAAAGAAAGTATCCTATTTATGAGGGTGGTTTGGCATTAGTCGTCGACTTCAGTCATCAAGACTTCAAAGTTTACACAAATCCGTTCCCTTAAGCACGTACCGGTTAGAAACATCGTTTCAGAAACGTCCAATTGTAAGATGAAATCATTAACAGTCATATTTTTCGAAGACTCAATGCGCTGCTATGTCGAACAGATCAAACCGCTCTCGTAACTAAATGATAATTTTCAGCCTTTCTTGTTCACATAACAATAACATTGCAGAATTGCTATATACATCGCAGGCACGTTTGAATGATGACCAATCAAGTACGAAATGCGCCACATTATGTTTCCATCACCAAAAAGCTAGCCTACATTGAAGAAATCTAGTAAATGTATCGAAATAACAGTATTTTCCGATGAAATGTTGATTTTGGCAGACACGATTGACATAGTTTGTTCGTCTCACCTCTTTTTCCTGCTGTCTTTTCCGACCTGTGGGCGAAACTTTAACTAGCGCGCAGTTCTGTTACTTAGTTCGTATACTAGGTTTTATGTGCTTGATATCATTATCCAGCCTATGTTGACTGTAATACTCAATGTGTTTGTCAGTTTTACTTAGTTCGACTTGATATCACCACTCGTTCGTGTAGCTTTTGTTGGCCAGTAAGCCGAAGACATACAGTCGTTGAGGTAACGGTCAGGTGGTTGTAGATTGCGTTTGTATTCTGGTGATGTACTCTTTTCAGTGGAATGCGTCCATTCTAATATCACATTGGATACTGAGCCCTTTGACAGCATTCCTCCCTAGGCTATCGTATGTGTTTTGCTGACTGCACATAAAAACGGTCATAGTTATGTATTTTTTTATAAAACGAACGAAGATATTCCGTTCTTGGTCGTTGGCCAGCTAATTATTGGCGGGGCTATTCCAATGTGGTAACTAACTGTGTCTTAGTTTCGTGCAGGCGTTGGATGAATGGTCTTAGAAGCACATCATATATTAACATAGTAATAACAAGTAATAAAATAACATAGTAAAAGCTACTCCGTGTTTAGTTTAGATAGTGAATTATAAACATGTGTGGCCGTTTCTTGACTCTGTAGATACTTAACCACATCTCTCGTACGATTAGATATGGTGTCCAACTTTCAATGACGCTTCTCCAGGCAAACCAAAACAAAACTTTTATTATATTGTCAGATGATGTGCTCAGCGAGTTCGGGGGTAAATAGTCTTTCAGTAGTATTAATTCATAGAGCCCTAGTAACCTTTGATGTAAGTGTGCCTGACGTTCTTTGCGTGTGTCGCTCACTCACCTACTCAATCAAGTTGATTTTAAAAATGATTTTTTACCACAAGGTGTAACCCGAAGCATCTTTTCTTAGGCATGTTTAAGCACATTCCGCGCGCAATGTTCTCCTTTATACCTTATGTTCATATTATAAAAGCTTTAATCTCTACAACACATCGAGAACCTGAGGGCCAACTGCGACGGCCTAATGTATATATACCTCTTCTCAATTCCTTAACTATAAACAATGTTTTTTTTTTTTCACACAGTGTAATCGTTCAAGGGATCTAAATCACCCGCGTTTTATCACTGGATTTAGTCGAACCAAAACGACTCGATGGCCTTTTTTTGGTCACATTTATTGCCGTTAAAGGCGATTTCTTATAGTTTGACAGTTCACAGGACAGGAGAACCGATTTGATCATGGCTTTGGTGAGCACGAGGACTAAAAAAACAGGCGTAAATTGTTGAGTACCTAATAGCGAAATGTATCGTTTTATTTAAAGGAAATAAACATGTCCCATCTCCAGAAAGTGCTAGCTTTTCAATGTGCTTACAAAGGGACCTTCTATCCATGGTCCTACATACAAGTTGCCATATTTCTTCTCTAACTCTTTCGCTCACCTGCTTCAAGTAACGATACATGAAGAATCCACTGTATACAAATCCGAAGAAATAAAAACCACATATTCTATGTTTTTTTAGGTAGTAAAGGTTGCGCTTTTTTCTTATCCAAATCAATGTTATTAGTCAAGCGGATACTTGCCGCTAAGACAAATCATTGCTTCTTTGTACATGTTATCTCTAGACTGTCGTCTATCCAAACGAAGTAATCTTTTATTTATTTTTTTGCTATTCTATTCTGATAACACGCATGCTTCGTTATCTTTATCCTGTTCGTTGCATTGTGTTACAGGACTGCTTGTCCCGAAATCTTAATGAACAGTAGTGGAGTTTGCGGCTGCTTGTCAATGCCCCTGCTCCTACAAAAATCAGACTCAATGCCAGTCGAGTTTGCTATCAGATTTACGAATATGAGGAAGCTTTAAAATAATATAAACTGGAGTAAGAGAGACTGCTGCTTCTCGCAGTCGTACAGCAGCTGTTGACCTATTGCTCCCATATCTTTCACATATTCGAGTATTTTGTATAATATTCTCAAACCAAAACAAATTCGCTACACATATGTACATGTATATTTAAAAAAACTAAGATAAAGGTATAATAAAAGAATAATTTTGTAGGACACGTGTGGTATACACGTGTGTTGGAAGGGTATATTTATATCAGCGTACGAATTAATGTAGGAAATGTGGCACGGTACATGCTAAGTGTAACTAACTTATGTCTATGCACGATAGATTTATTGCTTGATCATTGCTGCCTCGCGAAGCACAGTACCGAAACAGCCAAGCGCTTGTTCTTTTTTCAGTTTTTGGTTTTGAGGAGCCAGTACAGCCCAGCATAAGTTGTAACCATGTTTGCCCACCTCGATTGGCTAATCTCTGTTTTCTTGCGTTCGACACTCCCATCTCTACGACACTAAGATTTTTTGAATTGCCTAACATCTTTAAACGTGATAACATTTGTTTTCTTTGAAGTAGATACTATTATGTGATAGTATTAGAAAATAACTCAAGCGTGTCATAAACAGCAATATTTTGGTCAGGAACGTCTCGAGAATTTGTCAGTGAAGAATCTACGATGAATATAGAACATAAGGATTTTTCCTGGAAGGTACATTTCAATTATAAACTAAATTTCTATAGTTGAACATATCGCAAAGCAGGGCGTCAAATTGCCAAAGCAGTAGTTTCAATCCACGTTTGATTTATTTTATAACGATTAGTCTTCGTAACTTGTAAAGCAGTGACAAATTTTCGGGCGTTTCAATGGATTCTAAATGTACTTTTTGTAAGGTAGACGTATGTCGAGCGAAATGTTCAATTAATTATATCATTGAACAGCCATCTCAATCACTATTGTCTACTCAAACTATAACTATTAGTTAATGTCTTTGTCGAACAAAGCAGGTATAGACGCATCATAGCGTATTCTCTAATGCTTGCATGTAGGTAGAGGAAGACTCCCCTCAAAGGCGCGAAGGCCTTCCTTCGGTTTCTAAAGCAAGTAAAAATTGACACCACATATGTTGTGAGGAATACCTACTGATTTTATACTTTCCAAGAAGACTACTAGTGACGATTCTAACGTGTAATTTTTATCATGACGCGATTTTCAACTGTAATCCTCAGAGCGTCCGTTACATGAATCCGTAACCCAGTCGGCGCCCTCGCGAGATCCCAAAAGCCATGTTCTCGCTGCCGGCAGTATCTGCATTGCCCAACAGAACTATGTGTAAGTAGTTGTCGGCTTCGCGAGTTCGTTCAGTGTCTACAAAGACGTTTCAAATTATGTTGCTTAATTATCCATTTGTTTTCTATGCGATGTGCTCACAAAAGAAACACGTATACTCTAAAACATGTGAGTACCGAAATGACGTAGCCCTATAGTATCATGAAAAATTGGTTTTGACAGGCCAAGTTTCTATGGATTATTCCTTAACGCGAATTTATATATATATATATATATATATATATATATATATGTTCGCTCTATCATTACCAAATGACACGTGTCAACAAAACATGTCTTGTTTTGTTGACACGTGTCATTTGGTAAGAATTTTTGGTACAGCCTACAGGGCTTGTGAGTGAATTCAATAGTAACGCTGCTCAATCCTTTAACGTGTTTTTATTTGTCCACGGCTGCATAGCGCCCAGTCGAAGCAGCAATTGAGTCTCCGTTCCGGAGACACGATCGAGGTGCTTCGCGTGCTCGACTCGGTGATGTTGGAGGGCCGCAATCGGGATACCGGTCACTGCGGCCTATTTCCCACTGTGTGCGTTGCGCTCCAGGGAGCAAATCAACCTTCACCCGGACGCAGCGACCCAAATGATCCTGAAGGCCGCATCCCTCGAGGACGGTCGCCAAAAGGACCGCACGGGACCTCCGCAAAAATGTAAGTCACTGTATTATTAAAGCAGCTAACATCAAACATATTATGAGGAGAGCGAATAGGAAGAACCAGACTATTTAATTCAGGACAGACCTAACCTGGCTTCGTAATGGTTTGGACGGCCAAGCTTCTGGTTAAAAGGGGCTAGGGGTTGCTACTTTATGCCAAAGACACATACTGTACAACTTATAATGAAAAAAGATTAATTCTTAATTTCGTTTTGCGCTGAAAGAAGTCAGCCGCCCAAAGCAACGCTTAACGTAGGCAATAGTACTAGACATAAACTTCCAAGTATCTCATCGACGGTACAAAATTAACTGCAAGATTGAAATCTTGATGTGACTTCATATTACATATGCATATTATGCTATGAACCGCGCATATATGCACGGACGAGTTGCCATCTACATAAACGGATCACAAAATTGCCTTGGAAAAAGCTTTGCAGATCAACACTATCATTAATAAATATCAGAAGAATTAGGTGAGTATTCAAGCTCTATAAAATTACAATAGTTTCAAGTTTTACTTCTGCTATTCCCGTCATACGGCTGATTCTCACCAGGACACGAGCTAGTTATTACATACGCCCTAGATCACCTCACATGTTCTTTACGTTAGTAGCAAACTTGTCGTTGCAACGATACTGTGGGGACTCGCTACTTTAAAGGTGGAAAACGTCGTTTGCGAACGCTCCCTGGGTATCGACCCTCGATATGATATCATCAGTAGAGAACGGCCCGGAGTACACGGCCTCATGCGGCACTTTAAACTCAGTCTTTTAGATATAATAACTTTCCTAATAATCGAGAGACGAATTCTGTTCAATATTTCCATATGACGTTGCCTACCCGAAGAAAGCAAACAATAAAAGTATGCCTCACGCAGAATCGAGTCTAAGAATCGAAGAAAAAAACCTAGTGCTAGAATATATTGTAGAAAGGAGCTGTTTCCACACTAGGCATCTCCGAGTAAGATTCAACAGAAGAAAGACGGATAAAAAAAGAACGAGAAACAAGAAAGTACCGTTTATGTTATAAAAGGTATGGGCTATTAGCTAGTAAGGCGGCAATAGGCAGCAGAATCAAAGTGGATATCAACAGAACATGAAAGTACTTGGCTGAAGAGCTCAATGGGACGGACGTCGAATCTGTTGAGAAAAACAATCGACGCAAGCATGAACGCATTGGCGAAAGAACGGGTGAGTGACACCAGCGTGCATCACTGAGCTTGTGTCATTAAACGAACACTGAAAAGAAGGGGCTCAAGCAAAGAAACCCGGAGACCCAGAACGATAAAATCACTGACCCCTTTTCTACACAATTGGGCTGCACGGGGAGACCTCCGTTGTCATAACGATATGCAAGTGGCTGGCCGCCCTTCCACCCAGCAGCTGAGCAAACCGTTGTTTCCTTTGGGTGTTTAGTAACCAGTGCAAAGCAAAACGTCAGAAATGACGATATATAAAGCATTGATTTTACTTATACATGTAATGTATGGATTTCCTGGAAGATCATGGTTTTGCGTCACCGTGTCAATGTATTGGTGTGTTAATGGTTAATTAATAAGAATCGCTATGAAGTAGCTTCATGCTCAAGTGTTATGTTTAGACGTTTTTGGCTTTAGCATGCGGTACTTATCGAGGTATTTTTCTGATCCCTTGCTGTGTTAAACTCATATGAGCAAATATCGAATAATCATCGGTTCCAGGTTCGGTGAACCCCGCACAGTTGTCCTTCACAAGGGGAAGAAAGGATTCGGATTCGTTCTCAGGGGAGCTAAAGGTGAGAGAAATGCCATATGATTTGTCCGTCTTAGCAAGAATGTCCCCAGATCTTACCTATATCATACTGAAACCCAAACACGTGCAAAACCATAACCTTTTGAAAAGGACAGCAGATCTTGATAAGATCCTGAACCGCGTTTCTCTTTCGTGATATCAGTTGTAAAACCGTCTTTCGAGTTATCAAAATCCTAAACCAAATCGCCCGGAAAATTATGTTTGTCACACAATTATCTGGTCGCTTTCGAGGTATCAAAAATCAAATAGATCAAAGCTATCGGTATAGTTCTTTCTGCATGTCTTATTTCTACTTTGCTCCTGTTATCTGCAGTACTACGAAATCTTATTAAATGACAGCTGAAGTGCCTGTGCTTCGATCACAACAGACGCTAAATATTTTTTACACGTTGCGTTACAGATCGCAAGATGTTTAAAGGTAGGTGACTTTCAATGTTGCACGAATCAATGTGGACGATATCACAGATCCAAATAATACTCCAGTAACAGTTGGAAGTAATAATAATAATCAAAAAAAGATAACGACAATAAGGCCAGTATGTATAATCTAAAAACATGATGTCATCAGAATGATTAAATCCGGCTTCGTGATCTCTTTTACTCTACCTGACCGCCCTGCATTGGAGAAAGGTTATGTTTACCACTATTTAAACATTTTCAGCTGAAATGAATGACAACTGGCCATCGCTGCAGTATCTCGACGATGTAGACAAAGGAGGTGTAGCTGATATGGCCGGCCTTAAAAAAGGAGACTTTCTGCTCGAGGTGTGTTCTCTGATGGATTATTTATATAAACACGTAACTCATGGCTGGTTCAGATCCGTCATAGCGAATCTACGTACATTATTTGCGCTAATAAATGAACTCATATATAGATAATTTACACATACATTATGCGTCTTTCCCGATATCTAGGCAATGCTTTAAAAACTTATGTACGCAATGTCAAATGACGAAGGTAAACCGTACAGCAAGTAGATACCAGCGTGCCTCATCTTTGTATTAACCTATGAAGGTTTGATGTTACACATCCACTGTAAATATATGTAATGTAAACATCTTCAGTACTGCACTTCTATTTGTGGTTGGCAATTTTTACCTGGCAGATCGCTGCACCACCCTGCAGGTTCCATCAGCATCGATATCGGTCTTCCTTCATGCATGCCTGCGTTTATGTTCATTCTATGTACGTTGGTTGTTTCACCTTTCGCAGATTAATGGACAGGACGTGTCTCAGGCGTCCCACGAGACGGTAGTGAATATCATAAGACAGAGCGGGGACCTGGTCGCCATGACGGTGGTGTCTGCCGTCGCTGGAGATGCCGGCTCGCAAGCCAACTATAGGCAATGCGCCACGCTTCCTAGTAAGCTATCCAAGAAAGGTAAGTGTTTGTCGGTATTTGCACAGCGTAGTGGGTAGCATTCACACGAAACGTCGTGGGGTCGGCTGCTATCTCTTACGGGGCAGGTCGTTCCGTTTCAGCGCCCGCTCCTCCGAAGCGAGACCCCAAGACGACGCTGACGCTCGGGCCCAAGCCGGGCGGACACGGCGGGCTTGCAGCAGGTCACGCCGTTGGCCACGGCTTAGGGCTCGGGCCTGGTAACGGCCTGGGCCCCACAATCGATCCGAGCCAGACTTTGGCCGGACCCGATGCGGCAATCTCGTTCGCTCAACAGCAGCAGCAGCTGCTGGCTCAGCACCAGGCGCTCCAGCAAGCACAAGCGCAAGCCGCAGCGGCGGCGCAGCAATTACAACAACAACAGCAACAGCATCAAAAGCAGCAGCAGCAGCAGCAACACCAGCAGCATACAGCAGTAGGAGCTCAGCAACCGCAACAGGGGTCAACAGTTCAGCAGGTGCATTACGAGGACGACCGGATGTGCATGTCAGCGATAGACGATGGTAACAAGCTCGCTTCTATTAGGTCCCGGCCGTCTTCTCGAAGAATGACTAGTGCCGAACTGGAGGAGTTCTTCACGAGACAAAGTGAGCAGAATCTCAAGCATAGGCAGCAGCAGCAGCAGCAGTTTGACGAGGACGCACGAAGGTGCGCTACGATCGCGCGCTTCCCCAAGTCCGGCGACAATAGTAGCGCCAAGTCGGGCACCGGCGACATCAAACCTGCGAGCGCTGAGGAAGAAGAAGCTCTCAAGGCGCTTCATAAGAACTTCGCCAGTGTGCCCGACCTTAACAAAGACAACGATGCGACGTCCAAGTCGCGAAGCACAAGTGGTGACGATCTCAAAGACGGGTTGCTTCACCTTCGACAAGGGGAATTGGTCTACTCGAAAAGCAACAAAGCACGCTACAAAGATGACAGGCTAATTTACGCGGAGACCCTTCCGTTGGGTAAGAAGCCACCCGCCGGAGCGGGCCCTCCGCCTAGCCATCCGCCACCCCCTCCGCCAGGTCAGGGACAACAGCAGCAGCAGCAGCAACAGATGCTTCAGGTCGGTGGTGCCAAACCTACGGATTACGCTGGCCTATCGGTAAGTACAAATAGATCAGCATATTATAGAAGGCGATAAGTTGTCATGCTGTTTGTGTGTAAGTACCCTTTTTATGGCGACGTATTAAATACTTAATGCACACCGCTGAATGTGGGAAGCATCCGTCGAATTTTAGCGTAGTGTTAAATTCCACCCCGATGGCTAAGCTTGGTTCAGCCAAAACAACTACAGCCAGGCTCTTAAACTACACCCTCACAGCACCGAACCACTGTGTACGCGTGCGTTTGTACGTTTAAGTGTACGTATATGTATGTGTGCGTACCAAGCGTTGTTACCTGATGTATCCATTTGGCTTCGCGCCCCTTTCTAGCTTACTGAGTGAACACCATATATCACATAAAATTCACACTAACATTTCTATTTTTTACGATATAGGTTGACAGGTGACATAAATAGAGGCATTTTACGCCTAACATAGATAGTCCTGCAGGTATTTCGTCACATAGTTTCCGTTTGCTTGTTGTGCTTGTCAGGATATCGGCCTCGACGGTTCAGCAACGGCTCCGGGCGGAATTATGTCGAGTTTCAGGCCGGGTGACTCGGCCAAATTATACGCAAGCCCTGAGTCGGTCATGTCCTCGGTGGGGTATCGCCCGACCAACCAGCCACAAAGTGGACAGACGCCGATGGCTCATCGTTCGCGGTCGGTCCCGCCGCCTAAGAACCGAGCTTCTGGCGGGCCTGATTCTGCTGCTGCGACCTACAAATTGCAGGTCATCGCAGGTGAGCTATTCAACTTATGTGCAGCCCTTTTACAAATATGTGATATGCTGAAAGCAAAAGACAATATATTCACGTTTATTTTTATGTGCTTCATCGTACTTTATTTTCTTCTGTGACCCTTTAACTTATTTTGGTTATCTACTGATATTATTGTTTTATAGAACTTTCGTTGATTTCCACAGCCAATCGAACAGATTTCTGTTCCAGTGTGATGATCTACTCTATCAATTATACGATAATATACTTTTGTTGATACTGTATATTCCGTTAATCAATCTGTTTTTCCGTTTAGCTCTCTTCCTTCTTCATTTACCAATCGATATGTTGCCGAGGTGAGACGTGGCGAAGGACTTGTGTGCAAAATATTGTAGGCTAGTGAACCTTGCTTTTAACCCCAGATAGCTGATGAGTAATACATAACAACATAACTGATTATGTAGTTAACTGATTAACTACATTCTGAATGCTCGTTTGTTAGCACCCAATACGCTCCAGTGAGTAACAATTATCTCTATTATAACGATCAAAGGATACACGCGTAACATAAAAGCAAATTTCCGGTTTAATGGTTTTGTTATGATTATCAAGCAGCATCGTATAACCATAGTAAATCCAGCAGAAAGAAAGGGAAGCGTTGTATACCGACTTGAATCAATGAAAACTATATATATATATATATATATATATATATAGGAAAACCAGCTGCGTGTCTACTGAGCGCCTGCACATACACAAATCAATATAAAGTTCATCATTTCGTTATAACTTTAATTGTGATCATGTTATATTTGAGTTACACTGACACAATTAGTTTTTACCACATACTAATTCTAATGATTGCTGAATACCGGTATATGGCTTCGAGGAGACGGTCTCTTGCTGGGATTAGCGCTCCATCCCAGCACGATGTTATGTCTATACGCACTCCTAATACTACTGCTAGCGTTAGCGCTCGAATATCATAGACCTTAAGCCTTTTAGATACTACTTATTATCGTAGACCAGTCTAATGTATGTAACGTACTCCCATTGTTTGTGTGGGGGTTGCTTCGCTATGGTGTGCCGTTCCCTGTGACATTTTGGTGGTCGCGACCGCTTGTCCTCCACTGATATCGCTACTGTATGGGGTCCGTTCTTTTCATTCCGCGGTTGTTTCGGGGGCTCGAATGGATGTCGCAGGAATGGGCAGCGCGACTCGAGGCGATGAGCCAATGCTTGGAGAAGAGGCAGGAACGCCTCCACTTCCGCCGCCACCGGCCGAGAGCCTTCCACAACACCCGCGTCACCCTCTTTCAGGACATCACCCTGGACATCCGCCATTCATTCCAGATCCCGACTACAATAGTTCGGATGATGACACACCCAAACAAGGTCCGTTGACTGGCTATGATAAACTGGCGAATAGGACCTTATACATCATACGTGAAGGAATGCCATTGTTATTACAATTTAAGATCCGCATATCATCAATCAATACAACAGAAACAAGCACATTTCTGGGTGTATGTAGCTCTGTTCGAAAGATAACAGTAGGCTGTTGAATGCATGTCACACATCGCAGAATCACAATATAAAAATTAGTGTTCAATGACAGTAAATAAGCCATATAAATAATTTATTTTATATACAATTATATACAACACTGTAAAAGTTTCCAGCGAAATTAACTACCTTTGTACCTACGTAAATTAAACTACCCTTTCCACGCTTAATCTGTACCATTTTCTCCGTGTTTATATATCCTCCCGCGCTTGCAACGTCCGATATTTAACATCACCGTTTTGTCAACCACACATATGCGTAATAATGATGTAATTATAACGGTGATGTTGATGTCGTTTTGGCCCTACCGTCACCCACCGATTGGCCTAATCATCTTTAAACTGCTACACGCTTCGGCAAAACCGTATCCATGTCGTTGCATTGGCCTTTTTATCCGCTACCGCCAATTTCCAATGGCTGCCTCTGTCCCGCTGTGATCGCGCCGCCGACGAACGACATCAATTTTTCCCTGTTTGAACAGGTTTATTCTCCCCTTCAGATCTCCCGTTGCCACCACCGCCTCCCCTGCCGGGCCAGGCGTCAGGCGGCGGCGCCGCGCAGATCAAGCCACCGGTGCGGTCCAGCTCGATCCAGGAGCAGCCGTTGCCCAAGCCTCCACATGGTACAGCAGCCCAGCAGCTCAACGCGAGTGCCACCGGGGTGCAGATCAAGCGACAGGGAGATAAGCTAGTATTAGAGGTAAGCATATAGTAAAGGTCAAGGCAGACAGAGAGGAAAGTGCGTTTGTAAAGCTCACGTAAGAGCAAAATAACGACCGACTCCCCGGACATGTACAATGTTGTATAATAAATTCTAAATAACCGCTTACGAAGTGCATCAATAAAATACCTAGCTACACCACTTTCTATACCATCTCACAATGTTTCTTGCTAGAGCAAATTGTGTTCGAACAAAAGCAAATACACTAATAGAACTAACGCGTAATTCAGCGGGATTAGTATCATAAAAATATTAGAAACAGTATCCATCTCGGGTCGCTTTCCTGATTTTGTCTAAGAGTGAATTTCAACTCATGGCAAGATTGTAATTTTATTTGCTCGCTTATCATGCCGCCCGCTCAGCAGCAGGTAGTAGGAGGCAAAGAGCACCCGGGAGGTCCAACCCAGTCTGTGATGCGCTGCAGCACAGCTACAGCCGGCCAAATGCAGGCCGCACTGGCAGCGTCTGGTCAGCTGGCGATGGGTGCCGCTGCAGGCCAGTGCAATGCCATCAATCGGCCTATGAGTCATGACGACTCGTCACTCATCGAGAAGAAACTCATTGAGCAACGCCGGGCCCAGGTGATACAGCAGCACATCCTGGCCCAACAGCAACAAATGCAGCAGCGGACAGCTTCTGGCTCAAATGCAACAAACGAGGAGCTGTTGAAACGCCTCAATCAAAGCTACGTTCAGCGGGGGCAAAGCGCCGAAGAGATGCTCAACACCTCAAGGCAACATCAGCTTACTCTGCAGCGTCAACAGCAACAACAACAGCAGCAGCAGCAGCAGCAACAGCAACAGCAACAGCAGCAGCAGCAACAACAACAACAACAGCTAGCCGCGCAACAGCAGCGCAGAAGCCAGAGTGCGACTCGAAGCAGTGAGACGAACAACAACAATAACGCGAACAACGCTACGAGCTCGCTTAGCCAGCAGCAGCTGTACTTCTTGCAGCAGCAGCAGCAACAGGCGCGCCTCCAACAGCAGCAGACGACGCTGCCGCTCACCAAACACAGTCAGGTAAAAACACCGAAAAGAAGAGAGACCAGAAGGAGAGGCAGAGTACAGTGAAGTATACAATAAAAGAATGATAAGTTTATCATTGAAGCAGGATATACGTGGACTAGAAGCCTAATTTCTTTTTTGTTGAGAAATTTGTTTTTTGCAATTTGCAGTTTTGTTTTTTACTATCCTGTATATATAAATGACGAGGAGTGTATTTAAGTTTGTCACTTCCGTTAAAGTAAACGTTATCATTGCCAGCGGGAAGTATTCCTCAAAAACTCTTCTGTTATGTGCCTTAAATGAGCCCACTACAATTGACGCATTCTCCACAAACGACAAGACAGCATCGCCATTGGCCCGTGTACCTCCACGAGGTATTGGCCAAGAATGGTGCAATATGGGCCGCTAATGATTGGTCCTAAAAAAGTCATTCGAACAAGTTACCAGAAAATTGTTTGTTTTCCTAGAAAGGACTAACAAATGTTCCTCGAATTTTATGGCCGATACATCAGTTGAATTTGAACGCAGACGACCACATGTTCGTAAATTCAGATGGCAAACAATTACGCTACCACTGGGAGCGGCATTATGATTGGATGAGACGACGCTTTATCATAACTTATTGCAAATATGGAAAGGTCAAAAATTATGATTCGTCTACCGTAAGTCCACATGAAGTTCTGCTGCGCAGTGCAAAATCGGATTCTTAGCAATTCAGATAGTGGCATATTGTGAAGTCTTTTACTTTTCTTGAGGGGCAAAAAATAGTAAACATAGGCAAAGCCAATGTGTACGTGATGACACGTTGTTGACAACACGTACACACGATACGAGTTCGAAAGTACGATACCTTAGTTTATCTTGACATATACGCTTACATACACGTGCATCTCTATTAAATTGAGCTGTACTTGATTATTTGCTTCTTTGAAAAACTATCTTCAACGCCATCCGGCTCCATATGCTCGCAATGCAGTGGCCCAAATAGCCTCACATCGCACTGACCGATGCAGCCCCTGGAGTGATTATGAGATGTAACTTAATGTAATGGCTATTATGGAAAGTAACTTGCTTTCAGTTTTCTATTGAAAATGTAACTCTGGCGCAGGCAACATTGTGGTAGAAAATAGCTGACTAGCAAAAGTTAAGTGCAAAATAATACCTGGATGTCTCATATAAGCCTACCTCTCGACATTTTGGGCAACGCAAAAACGGTGATTTGCTCAAATTGTGATACTTTTTTATCCGGGTTAATCCTTTGATTAGGGAAAGTAATCCGCAAAATACTGCAGATGAAGCCGTGTAAAGTTTCATGAGATGATCGACAGTTCAGTAAACTAATTCCATAAATAGCCGGCTACGTCCTTGTGAAGGAGCCATTATTACTTAGACTTTTATATGTATATAACTGCATAAGTACAGAACGTAAAATTCATAATGCTTAATCATTTATATGGAGACAGCAGATATTAAAATGTTATTGTGACAGTGAAGAATACCGCAGGGGCCAAAAGGAAAGTGACTAAGCTTCGTGGAATGACAAAATGACTGATCCTTTTTCTGTTCATGCTATCTGTAACTCAGAGCTGGAAAACTCGAAACAGTAATCGATGCTTCAGGTGAACAATATGTGCGCTTCAAAAGACACATCAACAACTTATTCGGTGCTAATAGAAAACTTACTAAATCTTCTTATAGCACCAAATAAGTTCAAACGCCAAGGATGCTCTAAAGCTGTGTGAAGGACACACATTCCTGCTGTCCGTAAATCTAGCATCAAAGAAATTCATAAAAACAACGCAAGCTAATGAACAATATAGTAGTAAATGGATATAGTGGAACTATCAATAACTGTCTGTACAAGATGTCTGTAAATAGCTGGACAACTGAATCGTTAATCCAACTAGAGCTTCCAAATGACCTACTATTTGGAAGTTCGCGAAAAAAATTTACAAGTACGAGACTTCGACTGTTTGCATGTGCCTAACCAGATTCGAACAGGAGACCTTCTGGATTCAAGTCCCCGACACCCCCGCCTGCTTCTTCCCGCGGGCAACTTTTTTGCTTAGGGGCTACGACTTAATACTACTATTATTTTTGATAATAATAAAAATTCGTCTATCGGAATATAATTTCACTGTTTTAGGAAACGACTGACAATTACTAAGGCAGTGCATGATCTACCAGTTATATTGGGATTAGCGTCATTATTGTTATTATTACGCGTATCTGTCTACTGCAATTTTTTTTATTATCAGGTGTTGACGCCACAACAACAAGCTGCATTGCATCAGCAGCAGATTTATCAGCAGCATCTTCAAAGACAGCGCGAGCTGCAAATGCAGAATCAGGGTCTTTATGGACCGACGCAGGGGAATCAGGCCAGCGGACAACCCCCGCAAAATATTCCTAAGAAGACTCTTAAGATTAGGTTGGACCAGAAAGTAAGTGTTAAAAGATTTATATAAACAAGTCAGACCTGCTTCTAACATGCGATACACATGTATTCACATTATACCATGTCATATATTGTATATATCATACCTCATATACATTATATGATCTGCTCTCGTTATAACAAGCGATAGAACATCAAGAGTTCATACGAAACGTGTTTTGCTAACAAGCCATAGCTAAGTAAATATAAATAGACTCGTTAATCTTTCAAGCATGACCTTTAGCCGTAGATATACTGAAAAATATATGTTCTATGATTGATTCTATTAATTATACTTTCAATGTGTACAACAAATGGTTCATCCAACTGTAATTTCGGACTTGTCAACTTGTAACTGTAAGTCGGATTTGTCAAGAAGGACGATAAAATCATACGACAACTCAAGTATATACTCCATATTTAGGGTCATTGTAAAATCGTTTTTACTTTCAATTAATCTCTGAAGCGGTACAGGCTAATGAAGAAAGTGTGAAAACAAATTACTGGTAAAAGTCACGGGGCATATGCTCATGGGTTCAAATTGGTCGTAGTTACTGCTTTTAAATTCTTGACGCTGACGTTGATTTTATTTATGGCATTGGCATAAACTCATTAGCCGATAAACGTCTTAATTTTACTAAAAGATTTAACCTGTTCGAGTTACACCTCTTGGGTTGTAAAAACACCTCTTGGGTTTTTTGGCCTAAGACGTCAACAGTTTTTCATTTTTTCCAGCTATGTTTGACGTGTTCGGGCTGGTTGACACCTCTTACTATGGTCAACGAAAAAAGCATGATGTTTTTACTTTGCATATATTTTTCGATTGGCAAAAGACATTTTTTCATCTTACTCTCTGCAGGTTATTTACATCCCAAATGATGCTTCATGCCAGATTGGCTGTAAATTGTCAACAAATGTTAACAATGTCAAACATTTAACAGTACAGTTTAAAAATAGCAAAGTTTAATTGCCTTTAACATTTTTTCGAAAAAAACTTCGTTGAAGATGGAGTACTATTTTAATAAATTTTATCTTTTCTTGACTCTGGACAACAAGCGCCGTTGGGAAAGTTCTATGTTAAATAAAGTACAGTGTAATTGTTGTAAGAAAACTGACCGCAAATGTCATGTCCCAAACAGCTCGGAAACTTCGAATAAAATAGGATTGCGATCTGTGGGAACATCGGAACTTCAATCGAAAAGATTCATCGATTTATTTATTTAGCTCTAGGGTCCATTTTCACAGAAAAAATCAAAGTTGCCTTCGAAATTTCCAAAACAGCAATAGTTATCACAGAGCAACATGATGTTGCAAGCAGGCTTCTCGCTAGCGAGGCATTAATTACGGTTCCCACGCCTTTTCCGTTGTCGTCAACATTATTTACAGAAAACAAATTGGGTACTTACCCGGCATAATAAATACGTATATTTAGCATTCTCGCCAGAGTTATCTGATATAATCCTGATGTTCCCAGTATTTGTCATTATTACCACGCTAATCGTTCGGTTGCAGGTGCAGGCAACCCGCCGTACCCAGGACCGTTGTAGTTCGCTAGATAGAAACATGGCTCTCCAGAGGTCGCTGAACTCGGGCACGGACTGCTCAGGACTACGCAAGAGCATCGACGAGAGCTTGCAATTTATCCGCATGCAAGTTGACAGTTTGGGACTAGCTTCCGTGTCCGAGGTGGCTAGCGACACGCTGCCTGAGGTGGTACCCCCGCCACCGGAGTTCACGGCCTCGGCGGGTCAGGCCGGCACCCCCCACGGTCCAGGTGCCGGAGGAGGCGGCCGTGGAGCATGTCCGCCCCCGCCACAGTTCAGTGACCACCTTCAGCATCACGCCCGCTCAACCACCGTGCCCCATCTTACTCCACAGCAACACGGTAAGCAATGATAATAATCGTTTGCCTATAGTTTATTATTAATATTATTACTATACTTTGGGTGAACTTCTACACACTAAGTTTGTTGTTGTCTAACTGCAAGAGCGGCCTTTTTGCTTGTCCACGCTTACAAGGTCCACTTGGACCGTACGTAGCTCGTGTACTGCTTGCTCTGATGAAATTACGATAATAGGGTAAGGCGATTTAATTGTCTATGTAAACAGTTAATCTCAGGACGGCTAAAGGTACGGGGTCGCTGACAGGCGATGAGCTCTACAAGCGCGACGATTTACGCTACATCAAAGTCGCTCATCAAAATGACCATCGAAGTCGTTGGCTCGTAGCGACTATGGGAAACTATTTCTTACGATATGTGCACTGGCCGAAACAGACATAGCGCCTACGGCTTCTCGTTAACTCCACGTTACACATTTAGGTGATATATTGTTCCAGACCTAATTTTTCTTTTATCAGTCGAAGCTCGTTATCGATATACGAAAGTGATTCAACGCCGTCATCTACTGTCATATTACGTGCGATTGTTTTGGTTATTGATGAAAAGCGTGCTTGCTCAGCACTAATTTATTATGCCTAGGAGTGGCGTTGGAACAGGTGGGTATATTATTGTCTTCTGCCGCCGCCACCGCTGCCAGCGGTGGCAGAAGCAAAGAACGTATTGTAACTGTCCAAAATTAAGCGCAAATACGACCATAACCACACAGAAATAAATATTGGCATACCAGTGGTTAGGGAGAAGGTTCATTCGAGGTAGGGAAACCTGTTTGACGGCCAGTCGATTGCGGTGATTCGAGGCTAGATAGGCGCCAAAGCCTTGCCACTCATCGGTTTCTAGAAGTAAATGGTCTCAACGCTGTCCCCGTCGTACAGGCCACAAGGTCTCCTCAGTACAGCGAACAGCCTCACACCTTAACATTTGTTGAGATTCAATGTAAACCGCTGGTCACGAGATGGTAATTACGATTTATGATTTCATATTTTTAGAAATTATATAGAAATTTATGGTAATATTGGCTGCAGACCTATGATTGCCAAAGCCGAGGAGAACAGATAACAAATCAGCAATGAGTGAATGCTATGCCTCTAAACTTAGCTTGCTAGAAATCCAATAGACTGAAATTCTAATAGGTCTCATCTTGCTCGGACGAACGACAAGCTTGAAGCTCTATATCTACAGTGTCGGTACATTTAATTTCTTGCTTATTTAATGCGTACATAATATTGTGAACCTTACTTAGTAATGCTGCTAAACATATATAAAAATTTATTATATTATTATATGTATAAGAATTACATTGACTATTGGAAAATATGTATAGACAGTTCATCCTTAATCAGTTAATTATAATAATTGCAATTAATTAACCAGCGAATTACGACTTAGTCGAACGTCATAGGTCGTTTGCGACGGGTATCCAATTCAAAGTTGTTTTCTGGAATCGTTGCCATTATTGTTCGTTTCGTGTAAAGCTGACACATTCATTATTGGCGTTAGGTCTATTGTAAATCAGTTCTTGGTAATGTTTTATATCTGTTTCTATGACTAATTTGTTAATTAGAAGTATTTTATGTCACGCGCTGTTACTACGAAACGGCCCATTATTTTTGTATAATAATAGGACTACATGAGAAATGATTACTTATGAGTACTATCGAACTCTATTACAGATAATAGCGTGATGTTTGTCTAGAAGTACAAAAAAAAAACACTTCGCGTACCCAAACGGGATGGTGCCTGTCACATGTTCCTCTTATAATTTTCATATTGCATCGAAAGCTAGCACATTGTATCAAAAAGAAGACCTTTTGACTTAAAATGTACTCTCTTTAGTAAAGACTAAAAAAACACCTCTGCTATTAACAATACGTGTCATTGCGTTAACACTCGCATCTAACAGTGGTCCTCTGCAAGTATATTTGCTGACTTTTTCATTTAGCCCCAGATATCGCACACCATTTAAGAACCGCACATGACTTCCCACTGTTACATCTGTGACGATTATTTTTTCTCGCCATAATTCGACATCTCCTCCTCCGAAACTCTCGTCTTTTCGCTCTCTGACTTTCGCTATAATATTCTCGATAGCTTCAGCATCCGCTCCTGCGCTCATCAGGTCGATATGTCTCTAAAATCCGTCTACAACCGATCAGTCCTCTTGTCTGTGTCTCCATGTGCTTTTTTCATCTTCAGATCTGTGTATGCGGTTGGCTTGCGTTAGATGCTGCAACGAGCGAAAACTCTCACGATCAGGCTTCACATACTACGATGACTAGGACAACGATAGCTGTCCTAACCATCGTGGCATGACAGATGAGAGGCAACCTTCTCTGAAAAAATAGACGTTCAATGCCAGTACCTTCTCGACCCTTCTCTCAAGTGTCACCTGGTAAAAGCCAAGCAAGCCTGTCTTACGCTTATTTGTAGAAATTTGTAGAATAGACAGAAACTTATTCTTTTTTGGTGTTGTTGATATCATGGTCATTGGCAACGTAGAGCGACGAGGTAAGCATGCGTTACTGATGAAGATTTATGAAAGACCACCTGATTTTTCGCTTTTTTTTCGAGCAGGCAATTAATATATTTAGTTTTGTAATATATGACAAGTAACTAGCTAATCCACAGCACCAGCTGACCGGAGACCTTTAAGCGCTGACAGACGCAAAGATAGAAAATGGTGCGCATGGAGCTTTTTTTTGATCAATTCACGATTAAAATTAAAAAAAGTCGGCCTTACATCTTTCACTTTTACCACGTCCTGCGCAGACCCCCACTTATACAAGTGACACTGCGTACAACGACTATATATGTATTCCCATGGCTTCACCATATAGAACCAATGCAGCAGCTCTTAGTGCATTTTGTTACGTCTACTACTGCTATCACCACAATATTTAAGATCTTCTAGCACTTTTGTAATTTATGCTGAGTAGCCGCTATTCTCACCATTATCTATTCTACTCACTGGTCGCTTAATCTGTCTGGCTGTTGTCTGGCAGAATTTGACACTTTCGAGTTTAGATCACTACCGTCCCATCGATGATGAGTGAAATGTCCGCGCGCGTTTACCATGCCACCGCTTCCAATGCAGTTGTCCGCCCTTTAACGGGAATGACGCGACGTCTGGGGCCAAGGACAACGGGAGTCTGGTCTGCTTGCGCCGACAGCATAAATCATTACTATTATTAACGGAGCTGTTTTTACGCGAGCGAGCATAAACATGTATATAGGTATATTGTTTGGCCGATCTCCTCGACGGAACGCTGTCCAGCCGAAGTAGCTGCCTGTTACTATTCCACCCTGCACAACCCGATATGTCCTAATTGAAAGGATCAGAAATTCGATGTCTAGTCTAGCACGACTGACGGGTTGGATGGCTAGTTGTGATTTGGGTACACATAACAACCAATCTCTGTCGACAACTGCCGACAGAAACAGTTCCCACAGTAACGATGTTATACACAGACACATTCATAGTACCAGCAGCACTACTATTCGCGATTGCATAGTTTTAGGAACAGTTGCTCTGTTAGGTAGAAGGCCATATACGCGCGGGTCTGTGCATAAACGGAAAAAGCCGTGGCCACTGCCCACCCATCCTTCTGATTTATCGGCTTGCCCAGGGGTCGGTAAACGCGGCAGATGATACCAACTGCAGCGCCGGCAACAACAACATCAAAAGCAATTAGAACAGGGGTAGCCACGACAACTGTGGCCAAAGTAACAAACAGTGAAGTATAATGACAGCATAAATGCAGCAACAGCAGCGGCATAAAAAGAGGATAGCGCGCCATGTTAGTTATTGACTACTGGTGAGTGTGATGCCTATGTCTGTGACACGATCCGCTTACCGCTAATGACCAGCCGCAGCACTACAGGTAACATATTTGTAAGTAAGAAAAACAGGCCGACGGCAAAACATGGCGAAAGTTTACGATGAAAACAACGGTTGATAAGCGCATTGAGCTTGGCAAAAGGCACCGATAATGACGTGAAATCGAATGCGAAAGACATATAAGAGCAAATATGGCAGGCAACGTACTAGAGGTGCGCGAAGCAAAGTGTGGCACTAGCGTATCCGTGCATGCGTTGTGTATCTTACCATCGATTCTGTCAAACGTTAGAAGATTTCCCAAACGAGAAAATATTACTCGTTGATAGAGCTCATCGTTCGAGCCGAAAGTAACGTCTCGCAAAAACGGTAATAATTAAATCACATACAGAGGCAAAGACAATTTTATATAAAAAAAGATTAGGGTCATTCTTGTATCCCTTAGGCGAGTTTTATTTAGAGTAAGTATGCTTGAGTCACATTACGAAAAACTGTCACATTGACACATTGCTTCACTTAAACACCAGATAGGCAGATAACATTGCCATGTGCAATGTCTTATACCGTGAGGACACCTGTGGACGCTTAAACCATATTGTTCGACTGCCTTCACATGGTCTTCATTAGGAATGTTTCTGTATATTAAATCTACGACGTAACCCCTGGATTATGCCATTTCTTAGCTTCGGCTGAATTTCGTTCGATCTCCGTTCTCACGATTAGCTAGATTATTATGTCTGCGGTTTATGACATAAGTTGGATCTTCATTAAGAAATTATGTAAATGTAACCACCGCTAGTTTTTATTGATATTTGTATTGTATGATACTGTATGAACACGTGGGAAACCACGGGGTTCTAGTGAATGAGAAATACTCATACGAGTAATTGAAGATGTTGTTTTTATGTCATAAGAAGGTTCTGCTAATCAGAGCCTTGTTTTCGCCATGATACACTATCGTCAGTATACAAAAGGACGAGCTCTACAAAATTTGCCGTAAAAAGGAATCATTCATCTTTAGTAAAACTGCATCAATTGTATTCAACGTACATGACTCAATTAACGGTGGAAAATTTACTGGCGGAACTACCTATCTCGTTTTAGTCATATCACGCCACCTAACTCAATTATATTATTCTTTGGCGGAAAAAGGATTCTACTGTGCCTTACGTCAGCTCTTTTCTGTTCCGGAGTTGGTAGAAACCAGAATACCAATGACAGACGAAAGCACGAAATATTTCGTTTACTTTTTTTTTCGAAATTGGCTACAGTCTCATATTCCTTTCGATGCCATCGAATTAATGAAAGAATCAAACATTCGAATGACAAATCATCGTAGTTAGGAGCATACGGGCAAATTTATTATTTGTTTGACAACAAATGCGTTATTGTGTTATTTGTTAACCGTGAATATCTACTGGTCCATAGGTGAATCTGATCTCGGTTATGACAAAACGTCGGGTTTGTAGTTCAGAAATCTGAGAAAAAATCTGAAAAAGAAAATAAGCTTGCAGAGCGACTACGAGGATAATTCCTTTCACACAGACCCCTCTGTCTATATATATATATATATATATATATATATTATTGTGCATAGATATTAAAGGGTTCAGAACTGAACCGTTCCATATTAGCAGTAAAGAAATTATCTACCACGCAGGGCACGTATAAAAACCCATTTGAGTGCGTTGCAATTCATATACGCGTCTCAGAGGGAACAGGCATCTTGCTAAGTATTCTAAGTAGTCATCATAACTATTTAGTCAAATTTACAATCTTGCTTTTTAACAACTCAAAAATGCTTTGAAAATTATTGTGAATAAGGCGCTTTTTGGTCCGGAAATGCAAGCTAAACATTTACCTACAAATTGTCTGACGCTGTACATGCCGGTAAGCCTGATACTGTCATTGGTTGAGCGCGCAGGCCCAAAGCACTTGTGCTTTTCGAAATCCACAATGAAAGATAGGACCTCGATAGCTCAAACGGTCCTGGATCTCCTAGTATTGAACCACATTTTAGTTGATTTTGGAACCGCTAATATGTTCAGTACATCTTGTCTTTCAAGGTGTACATTTATAGCTCAGTAGCATCTGTACAGAGCTATCCTCACATTGAAAACGTAGCCATAAAAATAAATACCCCTGGTATTTTTGAGTTGTCGACGCTTTGGAGAGCACATCGTGGAAGAAGCTATGAGTTCATTTACAACCTGACCGGGTTGAGATCGTAAACATTATAGCCACATATATACAATTGTAAAGGATCGTCCAGAAGATTTAGCGGTTGCGATTGACCATTTGCGCGATCCCTTCCGCTTCTGTACCTCTGGTTCTACTGACACCTTGACAGGGCCTGTTTTTAAGCTGGAACAACGTTTGATTTAGTTTTGATTCGATTGTTGCCGGTCATCACATAGCCCAAAAGATGTTTCCGGAGTAGAAGCCAGCAAGCCTCCAATAATGTACCTTCATTCCTTATAACTGTCCGTGACAGTTCTTTTGCTAGCGTTAGGAACTTGTAACTGCTCTCTCAGGCCAACCCTCTCGGGCGATTCTTTCCAATGGGCTAAAACACATATTGTCATACAAGGAAGTATCCATCGCACATTGGTTCTATATATTCATGTTTATGGGTTAGATGTCAGTTTATCACGACGTCACAGAAAATATATGCACTTGAATCTTTATACCTATACCCAACTTTAAGTGCCGTTTGCCGCCGCTCTGTTTCGCACACGTCACACGGCCATACGTCATCTGTATTTCAGCAGAAAATTCATAAAGAGAAATATAACGCATACATTTTACCTGTCAATCGACTGAAAACTCCAGAATTTCACTTTCACAGCGTGCTCAATATACTCATGGAATCCATATGCATTTTCCCCCTATCGGCTAGGATGAAAGACAGTAGTATAGTATGGCCGGTTATTCACAGTCGCCCTATGTGAGAAGATCTCTTTCGATAGTTTTTTTATAGTACAAAAATGTTTCTCTAAACTGAGAGTGTCGTCTCAAGCATAGTGGCAGGCCTTGAAAGCAAGTGAGGCAACCAGAGAACTTCTTGCGTCGTTATGCGGCTACTTCTAACCTATGTTCAATCATAGCCATATTGAAGCCTAGCGCATCTACGTACATGGACAAAGAATATGTTTATAGTATACTTGTGCTATGCACACGAAACAGTTAGAACGAATGCTCGCCCAACAGTTTGCTAACGTAATTATGATATAAAGGAATCGTCCGGCTGTCAAAGCGATGTGTAAGAAAACGTTTGTATGTAGCCTATTTACGTAGGCATTTTGGGGTATAGGAATGACAGCGTGTCATAGATAGGCGAAAAGCAGTTGTACTACGTTAAAAATATGTCCGACTAAATCTTTTCTATGCGTCGAAGTTTCGCCTGACGGAAGAGTCGCTGCCGACTATTCAAGTCAGCGGAACGTTACGTTGACCATAAGCAAAGCCTATAGGTTCTTTTCCATAGCCTTGACTTTAAGGCCTGAAAGTGGATTATCCCAATGAATGAACTTCTACGAACACGTTCAAACAGTAGCGGCACGGTCCATGATCTATCGCTATCAAGCATCAATAGATAAGATATCCAGCCGCCAAGTCCAATAGATTAGGTGATTAGGCAGAAGGGGCCTTTTTTGAGCAATAACAAAGTCCACCAGGTTAGATAATTAGGCCAACGAGTTTCTTTTTTTGACAAATAAATAGTGACACGCATTGCGCATTCAAGTAACAAATATCTTTATTGAAATCTAATAGTACTGTTACAAAGTTCGCCAGTGCTCAAAGTTTAATGATCTGCAGTACTATTCAAGTGTGATAGCAGCCGAACTATAACCGCGTCTGCGTTTATCCGGCCTCATAAATATGGTGAAGATCGTTGCTGGCTGTGTTTTTACGTTACTAAATTCAATGGTGGCATTATATCGTAATCTATGAGTCTTTGCTTCTTCGTATAGCAGCTGGTCAGTTGACTTGTCTTAGTTACCATATTTAGGGCTGATATCCGGGCGTCAGATTTATATCTGGATGAAACCAAGCGCTTTTCCGTGCTACGACACGCTACTGTAATTATGCACTAAATAGATTAAAGGCCGCCTTCTACACGCAAAATGAGCGATGTCGGTTTTATTGTAAAATCCGATAAATTCAAGCTTTTTTGGCCGACGAGACAGCTAATAGAATCACAAAAGGACCGGCATCCGCAAAAGCTTGACAGATGTGAATTACATGAATTTCAGGTAATCCTGGGGTCGAATGTAACCAATAAAAAAAAATTAAGAGTTACCACATCATGGTACAAGGAATAGCAATAATAATATATGCTCTCTCGACCTCTTGTTATTAGCCCAACTGAGTCCGGCTCAGCAGGCGGCATACCAGGCCGCACTTCAGCAGCAGCAGCAGCAGCAACAGCAACAACAACGACAACAACTTCAGCAACAGAGACAACAACTTCAACAGCAACATTCGGGTGCGTACGTCAGTTATAACAGTTCTCTAAATACGACAACTAGAAACGTTCTTGAGCAAGCAGGTACATTACATTTACTATTATTAATCACTCGAGTCAGCCGATGCAATGAAAGCACAAATGATCACTGTAATAACGATAAACAAGCTTCAAAAATGTCCTGGTTTGGTAAAGGTTTGTAATCGACCTGTTGTCTTAGTATATAGATGAATTCAAAATATAATCTGTGGTCATATGAATGAGATCGTCGTGGCTGGCTCTTGTTCACTAAATTACTTCTCGAATCGTGTTTGATATGATACTCACTCTCTAATTCGTTTTACGACAGTATGTATATATATATATACACATATATATATATATATACACATATATATATATATATATATATACATATACATATATACTACACAGTGGAATGGAATTGCAAGCATTGGAATTCATGAATGCCGCTACGTGTTCTGCTACTGTTTAGAGGGGGTACACCAAATGGAGCGTATCTATTGCGGAAATAATACCTTCAGAAACGGAGTAGAAATTGCACAGTCCCGATAAATTCAAGCAAGCCGGATTTAGGTACATTGCTACGCCGATACAACCAATCCGCACGGAGAAGGACGATGCCTTTTACGCGTCATGCGTTGCATTTTACGTCTCAGTTTCCGTTAATTGTTAGTTGAATACCACAGAAAGAGAGCCTGGAACTGGCCACTGCAATGCTGCCAACGCCTCAATGACGTAGGCTAGAATAATTTCGAAATGTCCCGTTGATCCGACGAACGAATGGTGGATTCACGTGCTAAGTAGCATAACAATGGCGCGTGCTTTACAAACCTTACGAGCTCCGAGAGACCAACGTTTGTGAAACTGATTAAATTGTTCTGTACGTATTTTGATCATCTATACTGACTAGACGGTGGTAGAATGGTTCCACTAGATGTGTTCGTCAGTCTGCATTTTTACTTTGCCAGTAACCGTCGATTTTGCCATCAGAGAAATCAGTTTCCCGCCAGTGACCAATTTGTGACATGTACACACAGAAAGAGCTGGCTACATTGAGCACAGATACAGAATAGGTCGATTTTACTATACTGCGATATTGAGAACACACTCAAACAACGAGACGGTATCTAATTCAGTCAGATTAGAGTAAAGCCTACACACCACAGTAATACACATATACTTTCCAACTTACATATATAAAAATAATATTAATGCTTGTCTAATCAACATCGAATTATCGTGTCGTTCTGCTTCTTATCAATTATGAACGTCTGGCTTGAGTGACTGCAGCGGTTTAGCATGCTACCAAACAACTTTACTAGCTGTTCTTTTACGTAATACAGATACGTATTATTATTGTTGACAGCAGTAGCGTTTGGTAAGTTTCATCTGCATCCTCGCCTCTTAAAACTTCCTGCATCGATTATTGTTACCTTACGTGCATGATCGTCTATGCATACCTGTAATAGTCTCGCACAAAGGCACTCACGCACATGCGCATAGGTACAATGGCGAAGTTTTTCGGGAGGATTTCCCCAAAAAAGCTGTTACTGTTGCTTATTGCAGCAGCTGCTATAGCGGGGTAACAGCTCGGCAACGTCGTCTCTACCGGATGTTTTGTCACGTAAGGCTTCCTGTCCATCATCAAGCAATAATGTATGGCGGTATTGTTTGATAGATGCGGCCAATATGCGGACGTCTTGCCTTGACGTCGCGCGTACTTTGCAACATGAAGGCACGGTAGTTACATTTGAGGAAGGCTGATCATGAGGGGTTTTCGGTAAACACCTTTAAATCCATTACGGAAACGATATTACATATAGTGAGACCGGTATACTGCTGGGGTCCAAACAAAAACAAATGCGCAGCGGGCCGTAACATATATTTAGCCTGAAGGGGCAGATGTCTGCTGATCTAGCTACCAGTCGTTGAGTAAGAGACGAGACAACTACTAAATGACCTGACTTTTAGATGTACAGTATATATTGACAGTTTAACAGATTGCTTTGATTGTTTTCGACGGAAGCTCTATGACCGAAAATGAGTAATGGAAAATAAATATTCAAGGTTAAATTTAAAAAAACATATGCACTTTAGCTGGGGAAACAGCGAATTGTCAAGAAGGTTTTCGGGGATAATAACAGGATGACAAGGGGCAAGCATGACGAGGAGCGGAATCCACCCGCTCCCCGTACGACGGTAATTTTGTGTTTTGTGAGTTAGCCGACTGAATGTGCCATTGTGCAAGTAGTTTAGGCTGTAGTTTTACGTCAGTCCGTTGAATAGGCGTCTGCGGGTGAAAATCGCTGACTAAAACGGATAAACGAAATCCAACAAGCAAAAGTCAGTTAGGGCTGAACATGAAACAAAGAAAAACATGAAACAACTTATGTACGACGTCATTTACTCACGCCTATACTGTAGACAGCTTATTTTGAAATTGGCTGGTAACAAATACATATAATTCGACTTTGGTCATCACTTGACTTCGACGCACGACGTCACTGCGCCATTTTTTACGTCTGTTCGCGCATTGCCAAGCGGAATTAGTTATACACGCATCGGTGATTTGCCATCCTCGTTGAAATATACGTTTTGTTCGTGTGCTTGACTCGCGCGTGTCTGAGCGACAGCACTAGGAGTCTGGAACATCCTTACGATTGGTGTGAAAAGAAATCCCTGTTGCGTCATTGATGTTCGCAGACATGCAGCAGTACGGCATAGTATAGTTATCGCGCAGCATAACGGTGAGTAGCGACACGATTCAATTTTAGAAAATTCGACTGATACTGCGCGAAGACAAACTCTTACGAACGGTGCAGATTGAACTGGAAGAAGACAAATGGTGGTCAATATGTGTGTGCGTGTTATAAATAACAACTATTATCATCGCGCCGGCTAATGTTGGCGGGCCCGTGCAGTCTCGTATCGCATCACGTATCCTGCTTTTTAGTTACGTGCAGTTTATTAATAGTTTAGAGTGCGGGCATCATAACGGGCACCGTTGAAGGGCACTACTCTTCGGCACCATCAACAGCTGTAATATCTGTACTATAGTTAAACAATAACAGCATCGAACGCGAGCCAGCTATTTCGACTAAACCGTCCATTTCTAAAACAATAGTGTTCCTAATTCAGCTACATTTTGTCAGTTCGTTTGTCTTGCGTCGAGCTCACACTGTCGCTGTTGTTAATTGGTGACGCCGATGGTACCGACGCTCGTGATGACGATGTTCACCGCTGCTTCCCCCAGCGTCTGTGTTTGATGTTAGTGGCGTTGGCGTCTGTATCCCTGTCGTACGTTTCGCCCTTAATTCGCATGAGAATTGGCCAATACAAACGGAACGAAGGCTGAGAGCGCTGATACTACTTCCGTCAGAAATGTTGCTGGTTGTTTATCACTGCCTGGCGCTTCGCGGCACAGGCGCACAACAGTGTAGCCACTAACTATTCCCATCCATCACGTGAATCGGTCCCCATACGTCGTGTCGCGGAAAATTCATCCGACGCTAAACGTATGCAGCTCGCGTCCATTTGTTTTCCGCCGAGGGACGCAGAGACGACGGCGACAGATACAGCGCCAACAACAGGCAACGGTGGCGACAGTAACGACCCCGGTAACGCAATAACGAAAACGTTCATTGGCATTGAACGATGATGCTTCCTCTGTCTTTAGACGTCGGACAGAGAAACAAACAAAAACCTATAATAACTGCCACTTTATTAGCTTAGTAGTTCGGACAGGCAGCGACCTTGGATAGGTTCACAGGATACTTGTCACCACAAAAGGTGTTCCTGTCTCAATAGACCAGATGATACGAGACGGCGTGCGGCTAAGCGCATGATAGAGAGGCGTTTGATAATTACGGAAGTACCGATGGTTATTCGTCGAAATTCGCTAGTATCGGAATCATTCCTATAACTTGGCCACGACACGCTAACACACGTTACAGAATACGTCATCGGTGGATTGGAAGTTAAGAGAAACAACATACTGCAGTCTTTGATGGTCGACATCTTTCACAGTTGTGTGGTCCTAATCACATTAGCAGTAGCACAAATGCACTAGTGCTGATAGTAGGGCCGTCAGAAAGACACGGGCGATCTATTGCACAAACGAGCAAGTTGCCTGTTACTGAGCTGGGCGTCAGCAACTAAAACAATATTATATTGACTGTCATAATGTCCTGCAGGGACAAAACAACAACCGCCGTAATAGCCATGATACCGAATACTAACAATATAGTGAGTATGTACGAGATTTTAAAGAAGGTAAACAGTGGTAGCTAACCCCAGTCAGAGCTCCGATAATGATCGGAAAAGGTAACCGAGGAAGAGGGGCTGCAGTAACATTGTATTCTTAGACAAGCAAATGTGACCAAACATATTTTATGTCACCACAAACCGTTGGAAACGTTTGAAAGACCTAGAGACGCGAATTATTTTTAGATCCGACTGATGTAAAGCATTGCGTCACACTCATACTCCGATTAAATAAAACCATACGGTTAGAATGTTAATTGGTGCCTGATTTTGAATCGTCGATGATATCCTAAACCGATTCTCAAGTCTTTGTCGAAAACCCCCCAGCTAGAAATTCTACGTAAGGAACCGGGTAATTTTCTTCTGTCTTCAGAGAAATATGCAAGATGAAATCACCTACATAAATGTAATACGGGCGTGAATTAAGTAAATATCAATCTCGGTGGCGATGAACGTAAACGAGACATTTTTTAGTCGCATTGTTGGGTTTGTTATTAAAATATGCGCCCGTTACACCCATGATAACTACTGTAATGGAACAAGTCGAAAGACACGTTCGTCTGCACGGGAATAGCGCTCTGTCAATAAATTTTCATCTTGGTACTACTTCTGACTGTTATTTCTGCTTATCGGCATTAGCCGCGAGTGTAGGTATCGTTTTTTTTTCTGAGTTTTACCTATATTAACAAGCAGGGATAGCTTGAAAATTAGACCGAGGAAGAATCGTAGAGCTATTTGTGCAGAAGTTTTATGGAAATATTCAGCAGTATATTAAACTGAAGGAATAGTAGATTGATTGGGGCGCACGTTTCGATTACTAGCCGTGTATTATTAGGTTTTTGACAAGTGAACCTGAGACACTTTGAAGTTGCATAACTTTTTAACTATGCACTATTGGTAGACGATGTCCCGATTCACAAGAAACTTGTGGTTGAATTTATTTCAAGAGAAGTTAGTTCAGAAAGAATATTTGTAAGTTAAAAAAGTCAAAACGCTCAGTAATCATTTTACTGTTCCTCAAGAGCCACAGCGCTACGAAAATTGGTGAAGGTGCTGGACAAGAAGGCCTTAAGCAAAAGCATAGTGCACGAATGGTGAGAACAGAAATTGGACTATTGAACACCAAGGAGAGGACGACCAGACGTCACGACCTGAAGGACAAGAATGCATTGTTGCAATTAAATACTTTTTGCACAGAATCGGAGTTTGGAAACTAAGGGCTCTATGAGCCCTTATAATAATTTATAATAATATAATTTCATATAAAACGTGTTACAGATTTTTAACTCACATACTGAAAATGCAGTAGAAAACGGTTCCCCGTGAATTGACTCCAGGCCTGTTAAAAATGCGTACGGTGTATTTCACATGCAACTTACGGAATTTTAATCAACAAAAAACCCGTCTGGAGCATGCGGTCGCCATAAACAAGGCATGCCTCAATCTCAATATGGTCTCTACAGACAGAGAGGCTGCATGTGGAAGAATGGCATCGTCCTGAGGAAACATTGTCAAATAGGTTCGGACATAGGGTGACGATGGTAATTGCAATGGATATTAGCGACATATATTACTGCAAGATACTGGGCGTAAATGAACGCTTGCAATGAGTTCACTATCTCAATTTTTTCAAGAGACGCGTAGACCGTTGACACGACAAGCGAAAGCACTTGATGACGCTTTTAGATCTTATCGCCATATCTCAATTACTTATTAGATCGAGCGAAGGACATTCGACGTTGGCTTTGACCCGCGTATTCTCCCCATTTTACGGAGGTTGCGGAGCTTTCCATTTTTTAGAGCATTTTTAAGCATTTTTCCATGTTTTTAAGCAATTTGTTTTTTTTACTGCATAGATATTGTAGGTGTGTGGAACAAGTGGTTTATGTAATGTATGGTTTAATTGTTATAACTGATATAGTAATAGCAACCGAAATTCTAAGAAATACACACTGGGAAGCTTATGTCATTTAGCTACATTAGTTAGCGTGGTCGATCTTAAACGAGCTACGAAAAAGTAAGTCGTCAGTAGAACTTCAGCTAAGTTGTATCTTACGGATGAAAACTATCATCATACCTAAGTAGTATGTAAAAGATCTGGTATCAATAATCCTTATATATAATAATGCTCAGAGCAAAACGATTAATTTTTATCTAGTATCCTTTATATATATATTTGTGTGTGTGTGTGTGTGTGTGTGTGTGTGTGTGTGTGTGTGTGTGTGTGTGTGTGTGTGTGTGTGTGTGTGTGTGTGTGTGTGTGTGTGTGTGTGTGTGTGTGTGTGTGTGTGTGTGTGTGTGTGTGTGTGTGTGTGTGTGTGTGTGTGTGTGTGTGTGTGTGTGTGTGTGTGTGTGTGTGTGTGTGTGTGTGTGTGTGTGTGTGTGTGTGTGTGTGTGTGAGTGTGTGTATGTGTGTGTGTGAGTGCGTGTGTGTGTGTGTGTGTGTGTGGTGTGTTATTTAGATCAAAACAGCTCAATTTTATGACAATACCCTTCGCCTCACAGTGACCTCCGAGAGGCCTTACCAGAACGTTGCTTATATCTAATGTAAAAGCCATTTACGTGTTGTCGTTTTCGTCAACGAAAACATTTATTTAGGTATATATGATGAAGATTTGCATTCGTTCTATAGTATACAAGCGTGTTATTATTTTATTGCGTTTATTCACCTCTTGCTGAGATAAGACTACTCACCCCAACGATAGGTTTCGCGGTGATGACGTACCGTTGCGCAATATCTCGCTGTTTAAATGACTCACCCTCACGCATACACGTAAAGCCATAATGCTAATCATTTTCTATCTTCATGTTTATTTCTGTTTATAAAGTGAGCAAAAGTAATCTAGATAGTCTAATCCGCGCCAGTTCCAGCGACAGTTTCCAATTGTATCTACATAAATGGTACAATCGACTGTAATTAGCGATTATACATCCAATTAGACGCATAGCGTAACAATGATACGGTACTATTCGTATTTCGATTGAGCTTGATATTTATTATTGATCGACACTCCGGTAACGGGTTTGAGCTTGATTTTTTTTCAATCTGGCTCTGTTTGGTTCTATGTCTGACTAAGCGTCTTCGTCCTCGTCGACCTTCAGGCGTTTTAAATATTCTTCCCCTGATCGCATCGTAAGCTTACCTATAGCCATTTGTTTAGCACAATATGCAGGACTGAGTAAAGGTCAATTACCCGCCAGAGGATGAATTTGGTGCCCCTGTTGTATCTACGACCGGATAGGCGCCCCTGTGCGTCTAGTTATGCAAACTGGTCCGAAACGATTGATCTATATAGCAGTACGGACCGTATTAAAAAAAAAAGGACGAGAAAACATTACGACATATGACAAGCAATACAAGCTGGATTTTCTTATGTCTGATTGATGGATTGCGTGGTGTTGATGTCCTGTGATTGATCATGATGACAATGGCGGTGATGGTGTAATCCTCAGATCGAGCCTCTCCGGACCTGAGACAGCAGTACGCGCAGCAAATAGCGCAGCAACAACAGCAGGCCGCTTATGAGGCATACGCTAAGAGGCTGCAGTTACAGCAGCAGCAGCAGCAGCAGCAACAACAGCAGCAACAAAACGGTTGCTCTGCTGGCCTGCCAGCAGGCTTCACAGGTAGAGTAGGCAGCAATAACAGCAACAAGCAAACAAGCTTAGAGTTATGACGGCCATGACTTGAGCACGCTGACAGCTGCTGCACAGAAGGTTCAGCTGAAGCCGTACACGGCTGTCGGTGTTCCGCGGCCTTGTTTGCTACTCGGAGTCTTCTTTTTGTCATATGCTGTGCGTGTATGGAATAAACTGTGAATGAATGTGAACCTATACGTGCTTGCAATAAATAGTATGAATAATGGAATGAATTAGATGAGGTGAATGCGTTAATCAAATCATTTGGGAGTTGGTGGCTATGGTGATTTTGACTCTAGTGCTAAGAATGATGGTGATGTTTGATGATTAGGTCGTCTGCGAATTCCCTCGCTCAACTACACTCTATTGTTTTTTCCTCACGTACTGTTGTTGAATTCGGAGTATGTTGACGAGCACATTAGGATGCCGCGATGCGCCTCTATGCTTGTTCTCGTTTGCTACGCGTACTCTCATGTATTTTCACCTCCTTTTATGTTACTTCCGTTTACCTACTGCATATGATCGATGCATATGTCATGACATGGACCTGAGACAGGATGATTTCTGAAGAAGGGTACCTGCTCGTTGCATTAATGAACACTACTAACCACCTTAGTTATCAGTGTTCCATTTTCGTTTTTCCTATTGACTTCAAATGTGGTCATACTGTGAAGATTTCTGTTGCTGTTCCAGCTGTATAGGCCGTTGCTGGATATCAACGTTAGCTATAGTGCTACAGAATAGTTCTAATTTAAATCTAACATTGTAAATGATGTGTTCTTCCTCGTTTTTGGTCTCTAGGCGGTGGAACTCTGCGCATGGTGCGGCAGAACCAGGCCGGGTGGGAAAACCAGCCCCTGGATCCACGCCAACAGTTTGGTACAATCGGGGGGCGCATGAGCCAGATTCACCAGTCCCAGCCACACCAGCAGCAGTCGCGTCTGCAACAACAATACCAACAGTATCAACTGCAGAAGCAGCAGCAGCAGCAGCAGCAACAGCAGCAGCAGCAGCAGGTGGCCCAGCAACAGCAAGGTGTTCTGCAGGTGGAGAGACACGACCTAGCTAGGCTTCGAACGGTAGGCCATATACCTACGATCTGCATTTTGACATGCCATAAGGCATAGCGCGTCTCATTATTGATCGGATGCCGGAACATCCACTCTATCGCGAAGAGTGAATAAACTTTCATTTATTCTATGAACTTGCATAGAGCCCGTTCAGTAAATTCGTTTTATCATGCCAGAGTAATCACGTGAACTGGCGCGTACTTGTAGAATTCATAAATCCAAGATAGCATCTAGTATAATTTTCTCTTAACTATTGTACTTCAGGTCCAAAGGGAGTTCCGTATGAAATCGCTTGACCAGTGGACCCAGCGGGATGTTGCTGACTGGTTGGAGTCTTTGTTCCTTCAGGAGTACAAGCCCAACTTCCATGGAGTGAATGGCGTTAAGTTGCTACAGATGACTCAGAACGACTTTATCGCGCTCGGTGTCAAACAGGTTGGCCATCGCGTCAATATGGAGCGCTCGCTCAAGAGGTACATGAAGTGAGAGGGGCGTACGACATTGCATGGAAGCGCCCACCTTGCGTACGGCTTAGCCGACTGTGCAGCAAGCAATTATAAAATAATGCTGAAAGGAGAATTCGTACGAAACTAAACAGAAGCGAATGCAAATAAACGAGAAAGAGTGAAGAAGACTGGCTCGTGAAAGAGATATCACAAAAACCGCGGTTTGACCGAGACAAATACCCAAAGAACGAATGCGAGCAACAACTGAAAAAATGACAAAAAAAATCTGAAGAATATGTCACACCGATCGTCTGCGCAAGTCTAACAGGCAAACAAGCGGACGCCAATAATAGTGCTAGCGTATTACACTATCGTAAGAACGCCATAATTTTATCACCAGACCGAGAGCGTTCTGAGCGTTTGACCAGACGGACATCGCCGCGACTTGAGACAAGCGCCCCCTAGCGGTATACCCCCTGAGCGGACGGCATCTCGCCCTATCGCCAACAGCAACAGAAACAATAACTTCGACAACAGCAGCAGCAACAAAGAGTAGGACAACTGCAACCTATTTTAGTCCTCATAACTTCCGTCAAAGATAACCTGAAAAAAGTTACCCAAACAATCACCCTTCCACACCCCCCAAACATCCTAACTAAGCCATCGAAGCAACACACAGTTTGTGTATGGTCACAAGCTTTGTAGCCCTCCCTCTCTCTCTCTCTCTCTAAACTAACTGGTTACTCTTGCCACCAATTTATATTAGTACGAATAGTAAAAAGGATGGTAATAGATATATGTGTCTTATACCTCGTTTCAGTTGGTTTCCATAAATGTTATCCGAATGCTAAATAAGCAGGAGAAACTTAATAGATTAAGTATATTCTCAATTGATACTGATATAAGCACTGATAATTGCTCTCTAACTAAAAACAACAATATTATCAGTAAAAGTGTTGGGTAATAGGCGCGATGTCGGAGATGCGTCAGCATATGAACACAATCTAGGACGCAGCCAGAACCCGCCAGAATAATGTTCTCCCACATCAGCTTAGTTGAGATGCTACTGAATATATATATATATATATATATATATATATATATCTTATATCAATAATATAACTATTAATATTTATTATATAATGCCAATCTATATATACAATAGCGTGAAAGGACGAAAAAAAGATGAACAGAGTGAGAGAAGCGGCTAGTAATAGAATGAGAGAACGAAAGAAGACGAGACAAAATGACTATTCTTAATTATATATATATATAATTGTTCGAGGAATGCTATTTCTTGTAGTTGTAGCCCGTCGGGTGCAATATGCATTTTCTACGAACTGGATTGAGTGCGCCGCTGGCAAAGGACGCGGGGCTATAATACATTATATAATATATTATAAAGTTGAGCTGCGCACGCGGCCGAAGCAGTGATCTCGATAAAATGATTACCAAGAACAATGGCGGTATAGGAATATGAGTTTGACTAATTAACAAATCATAAACGTTTCGTCAAAAAACGGAAACATAGCTATTAAAAAATTGAGATGAAGACTAAAATTGCCTATACAATGAAAATAGCAAATAAGGTAAAAAGTCACAGTAATAACGATGGTGAAGATCGGATGATACGATGCGTATAGAGCGACAGACAAACACGGAAAGACACAACCACATACATAAAAAGTCCTACGTTAATCAAATACACCGAGAAACTCCGAGAAATAAAAGTAAAAATAAGATGATTACTAATCAACATAAAGTAAAGCTTCATTCAATGGCGGAATTAACATTAAAAAAAAAAAAAAAAAAAATTGGCGGACAAGTACGAACGACCTATAACGATGCCGAGGTTAAGAATAATTTCCAATGAATTATAGTAACAATGCTGATATTGATGAAAATGCTAATGATCTTCACTAGTGATTGAATGTGCTCAAAGTCGAAGGTGGGGCAGAGAATGAATCTTCTTAATGGCACGACAAACCTTACTATTGCTATTGCGGTTACTATATGATGATGATGATGATGATGATGATGCTGAATATTATTATTACAATAAACACTGTAGGAAAGATAGCACCGCGAACAGCTTCTGGTGACAAACGCAGGAATGGGGGCAAATAGACGGGAAGAGACTTTCGGAATGAACACAAATGCGAAGAAGTGTACTAGAATGGGAAATAAATCGTAACGGTTAATAACGAACGGCGATCCTTCGCGGAGAACAACAGCTTCTCCATTCTTCCGTTTTAAATACTAATCACTACTGCCATTCCTGGAACGTTCTAAGAAATAGCTGTTTTTTTCGAATAAGTTGGCCCTATGTAATTAAATGAAGAAATACACGGTACGAATCAAAGAACTGATCACACAACTGGTGGCAGTAAGAATAACAAGAAATTGGCCTTTTTTTGACCTGAAACAGAGAAAATAAATTTTGGCAAAATCTGTAAGCAATATCTTTCCCACTGACCTTTTCTCTCGGTCTCTCTGTTCTGCTATGTCAATAAGTAGTGGAAAAATGAGGTGCCTGACCGGGGCGCAACTTTCGCCAATCCCTCACGTCACCCTCTCGAAGAATGTGGAAAGCAAAAAAAAAAACTGGAAAATATCCTGGTTATGATACAGGGATGAAAGCAGCATGACGAAGAATCAGGAAAAGAAAAGAAAGAAAGAAAGAAAGAAAGAAGAAACGCGCGTGTGAAGATGGGCAGATGCAATTCGCGCGATACGCTGAGGGAATCGAAAGATAGGTGTCGAACGTCCATGACCGATCTAGAAGAACGGTCTAAAGTTACGGGTTAGACGCATTACCAGTACGGGAGTTTTCGAGGGAGCGTGCGTTCACGGTGCGAATAGAAAACGAAGGGAGCTACAAGGAAGAGATGAGAAATGACTCATCTGGTTTGCGTTTGCAGGAAGGTATAGAGCTGGGCAAAAAATGAAAAATACGTGATGCAATTCATGTCGTGCAAAAGTTGTAGTACACTACGATATCTATTAGACAGAGAAGGCATGCTAACAACGATGGTGTCGGTGATGATGGTGGCGATACCGCGCGTGCATAGCGTCACGTTCTTCCACGTCTAGTTTTGGCTATAGTTCGTCCTTTTTTTCCTCTTCTTTTTCGGAACGCCGATCGACGATAACAATGACATCAGCATTGATGTTTGTGTATGGAAAGCTTTTTCGCTCAAGAACTACCGGCTGAAATACGGATACTATTTATAACAAAACGGTAATGCCATAATATCAATATTGACTACGATGATGAGCAAGTTGGCGATGAGATAATATATTGATGAAAACTTACAAAAACGTCACTTCAGGATGACAGCACGCAGGAACCACGACAATATATGATATCCTAGTAATATTGTTTTTAATGATATACACGATAGTAACAGTAGTGGCGATGTTTATTGGTGCAAAATTAAGTTCCTCCACTTTTCCCACCATTGTAGGAATGGCGAGAAATATTCTTTCCTTCGAGAGTCTCCGATCGACATTAGTCCGTGCGCCCATCGTACTAACGTGCACTCCCTTCATAGCCTTTCCGACAATCTTCCGTAACATAAAGAGGATAAAATTTGCCGTCTGGACAATCTCTCTGGGGTGAACAAGCAAAACAGAGTTGAACGAAATGTGAAAAGTTAGGGAAAAATAAGTGGAAGTGATGACAAAAGAGGAGGGATGCTGCGTACTTAATTCCGCTAAAGATGATATTATATTGCCGATGTAGATGTATTAGTAACATTTATATTAGTGCAATAGGTAATAACGAAAACCATATATATATATATATATATATATATATTCCTGTTACACCGTGAAAACCACTGAGAATCGCTGGCTGAAAATAACTCATCAAATCGTTTTGTTTTTCGTGGTCAGCCGCTATAAAAGGAAAAGTTATAATAACGATACATGTGTCGAACACCTTCATTGCTGGAACATTACAATTATGATAATTATTACCCTCCCGCATTCACAAATATGATGTGTTATTATTACTAACGCCGTTATTTCTGCTAATCGACGGAAAATGTTGGCTCTAATCTTCTATTATTGCTACAAATATAGTTGGAGGGCAAAAAAATAGGCTTGGGAGATAAGCAGGAAAGAGAGGTCGAACAGGTACAGCATTCTAACAAAGAAGCAAAACAGTGCGCGACGAATCGCGGCCCAGTCTGCTCTGTTCGATGGCGCAGTCAAGAGCCCCGCGCGCATGCTCTTCACTATGGTAACGACGTTCGTCGGATTTCCCCTCATCGAAAAGCGGACAGTCAGGAACACCTATGTCAGCCAACAGGAAATAAGTAGCGATGAAAGCGATACGAACGCGCTAGAACGCGTCTGATCAGGGTCAGGTCGGTGATGGTCGGCGCGTTGATTGGGTGTCTTTCTTATGCCCTGATGGCCTTAGAGCTTCATGCATACGTAGAAAGAATTGTCGGCTTCGAATAAAGGGCAGATCTCTTTAATAGGTGCGAACGATAGCAGCTATTTGCAGTAATCTTGTACGCGGCCTGCGTACCGCGAACGATGACGCAACATCGTCGAAAAACCTGGCGGACGCAACATAAATGCGGTCAGTCAAAATTGGCCTAATGGTAAACGGGAACACTTGAAAGGGGGCAAGTTAACAGATGCACAAACATATAGGGAACCCGTTCAGCGTCGTAGTGTTCGTAGGAGCTTTTTGTTTTTCTGGAGAAAGCGGATAAATAAAGCGAAATCGGAGATTGCACTTTTTGAGCAGGGACGAGATTTATATATTTAAATCAGAAAATCGAAATAGATTAGTCTGACAGATAAATCGTGTAGGATAAAATGGACATAGGAACCATTTGATAGTCCATAATTATAATCTCAATTGTAGTACCTAGTATATTAAATGTAAAATCTACGTTTAGATAAACACGTAGACCTGCTAGCTGAGAAACCTGACTAGGAAGCTGAGAGTTCCATGGGAGTTACCTGCGGCGTCAAAATATCATATCTATACGTGATTAAGCTTTTCAAAAAAAAGGAAGAAAGTTCTTGGAATATTAGCTTAAAAGACGCCCAGTAGTCGGAACGATGCCAGCAATTGACGGAAGCGTTTTCGGTCGAAACGCTCTTGACGCTACTGCTACAACAACTTGGGAAATTTGTCGCGACTGACAAGACGCGGCCAAGGCGTGCTAATGTAACGACTCTCGGAAAGGTGACATCATCAGATGAGACCAGGCAACAATCATAGCGAGTCAATCACAATAACAAGGGCAAATATATCGCGGAAAGGATATGGGTGACATACAAAAACAAACCACTTGTGAAGAAATAGGATTTTGTGCAGACAATACCTAATAATAACATTCAATAATTCATAGTAATGATGACTGATATTACAGTAATAACACAACGTTATACTAATGCTGCTAAAACAATGGCCATGGCGTGCTGAGAACGAACGAACGAACGAACGGCTATGAATAAAAGGAAAAACGAGAAACAAACAACGAAACAAGGGCGAAAAATAAAATGAGGTATTTATTACTCTGCTCATCATTGTTATCGATATCATCAATTGCGTGAAATAAACGAGCGAGGAGCAATATGAAGTTCATGCGTACATATGGAAGGCCAATGTTCTGAACTTTTTTTAGTGATGCTAAAAATTCATTGGCTATATTAAATTAATAAGAAATTTAATACTAGTTATGTTCTCACAATGGACATAAATGAAGGTAGAGAATAGATTTCTATTGGCAAAAAAGAGACTAAAAACGCATCTACTTTCTAGCTGGATGACTCGACAAAAAGGTAAATCATGCGTAAGCAAATGTACACGCAATGTTTCATCAGGGTACCATCTCTGTTCTGGCGGCTGTAACTGCATCAATAACTTACTCAAAACAATTATCTATTCGGAGATCTGCAATCTCCGTGAAGTCAAGCAACGCACTGGTCCCCCGAGCGCTACTTGCTAGACGCCAGCCATATTGAGAATGTGTAACGTCATGATTCGATGCTAGTTGCCCTTACAGCCTGTATATGGGGGCTGCCGAGAGCGGGGAGGGGGTTTCACGTTTTTAACTCTTTATCGATAAGATAACGGAAAAATCGTCTGATGTAATTCTCTTACGAGACGAGAAAGACACGCCGCCGTTAGTGAAAACTGATTGGCCGACTGTTGTTTGTCTGCGCCAATCTGCTAAAGCAATTATACGGACAAAACCCACCATACAATGGATGAAGATAGCAGTGACGATAATTATTGTCTATAGTATGTCTACTGTCCTGGAACTGCTCGTATTATAAGCTAGCTAATCTATATTTTCGTCAAAATGGCTCAGTAATTGACTCATGAAATGACAGCCTGAGAGTTGGCCGATCGGTAGTTTGTGTGTTTGGTCAGAGCGCCCGTAAACAGATAGGGGGCTTAATCGATCCGTTTCAATATGATAGCTAAGTGGTACGATTGTCTGTTTATTATTACTATTAGTGGTAGTGGTGGTACAAACAAAAACCGTATAGATGATTTGCAATACAGTAGAAGATAGTATATAAAACATTTTGATATTTGTTTTGATTAACTTTACCATTAAATTATTACATCATATGTTTATTTCATTATTATTTTATATATATATATATATATATCCAATAGTTCGACTACATCGCTTGGTAACGCTACCAAGCTGTACGACCTGGTCAGCAAATTCGACGCTGTTTAATGAGCCTTTCACTCTAGGAGACCAATAAAGGCACCTTTACGGTACCCCTGTTGGTCTCTTAAAACTTCCCATTTTTGGTCGGGCTTTTACGGTAACGTTCGATCAAAAAATTCAGTGCCCAATTTCAGCGCAAAACAAGCTACCGGCATCCAATACTGCCTAAAAGCAATGGACAATCATCCAACGAATTCGATGTTATCAAAATAAATAAATCAGCTTCATACAACAATTATCACTATGACAATTATTGCTGATATTATTCACAGTATGAAGAGCGTTATCTCGTTGAGCCAGCAACAAGAAAACAATAACAGTAAATCGTGTACACGAATGAATATAGCGTATGTACAGATAGTCAGGCCGTACTAGTCGACTAAAGACGAGAAAATGCTGTGTGTTTTGGGAAAAACAAGCAGCGTTTCACTGCACGACAATGCGATATTTCACAGAATTCGATCAGGAAAAGATAGCAGACGGCTCGGAGATCGATCGAGTAGCAATCAGCGGGGCAACAGCGGGCACCGTCGCAAACGCAGCCGTTATAACTTGCAATAACAACAACTTTAACTGCAGCACCTTCGCCACCTGCTTGTCACCACAGCGTCATCCTCAGCAGCTTTACGCGCGATCCAGCTACAGCACTTCATTATGGGATCTTATCCGTATTATGCTTCCAACTAGCTTGGGGAGCTTACCACATCATTGCTCTAAAATACGCCCAGCTCAAGCCCGTCGAGTTGAAGCAGCATCTCCCATTGATTTTGGGAGTAGCGCAACACCGAGTGCCTGGAGGACCAGACGTCTTGAACAAGAATAACGATACCCTGCTTGTCACAAAACGTATGCAGAATGCGCCTGACCTGGGTGTCCTTTGGCAAAAAGATTACACGCTTAGGCCAACGGGGCACGCAGCGGTCTTTCGTGATGTGGATCTCTTCCAGGTGACCACTCCATACCTGATAGAGGATTTGCGTGCCAGGAATGTGAACGACGTCGAGTGCACGCGCTACCCTGTCGGGTTCTTCAAGGGTTAGACTTGCCCCAGCACAATCATACGTCAGCATTTTTTGTCCGTCTCGAGATCCGTAGATCACAAGACGATCGTATTGGTCAGCAGATATATTGTAGATTTGATCCAGGGCCGCGGGGACACGTTTACTCGTGTCGGCCATCAGGAATTGCCCGGAGTCCACTCGCAGGATTCTCACGGCGTTTTTGCAATCGACAACATACATCTGGTTTTGGGTCACAACCTTAATATCTCCGTGTGCTATAGTGCTGCCATACCAGTGTCGACTAAGCCGAAGACGACCATCATTCGTTTTATGAACGGAGAGAAACAATCCGGCTTGCAAGCACAGCGGTACGACAAGTGCGCAATTGGGCTTTTTTCTTTCGCACATCAGGTCGCTCCATTGAACCTCGTTGAGAACCGAGTCCTCGTATGAGTATATGGCATCTCGAAGCAGCATGTACTTCGTGCGGCAAGTAATCGTCTGCAAAGATTGCAGGGGCTCTTTGTGGTCTTTTGCGAGAATCCTAAAGTTGTAGTAGCCCTTTGAGCCATATTTTTCCCCAATGCGGGTCATCATCGAAGCAAACCAAGGCAGCCGTCCATTATGGTCATATTCAAGCCAACTGACAAGGGCCCGGAATATCATTGAGATCTGACGGGCGTTTGATATCGGTAGATGTTCAACGACTTGTTCAAAAGCTTCCACATCGAGCCCCCTGAATCGGCCACTACTGACGATCGATTCGAGGTTGTTAAGAAGATGTCGCTCAGCTGTTGCGTAGAGGGCGTGCAGCTGGAACTTCCGCGCTGCCAGGTAAATGTCGAGTGAGATTTTTATGCCGATTGATATTTCGCCTGAATAACAGTACTTGACGAGCTGGATCATTACGTCGGAGCCGAACTGCACGTTAATATTTACATATTGTTGCGCGAATTTCTCCCGGAAATAGGGAGACACTGCGGCTAGCAGTACGCGATGAACACAGAGGACACGGCCATTCGCGCACGTGATACGTGCATCACACCACGCACCCTGTTGTTGCATCTCTCGTACAGAATTGAGTACGTTCAGTCCGAACGCCTCCTCGTGATGACTAACCGACGCCGTCATACTTGAATAGTTCGCCTCTCTTTGAACCTTGAAATTTCCTCAGCAAATTCTATCCTATCAGCAGTTGTGGCTTCTTCAGGTCAAACACATGTTCACAGGAGCTACACCACTCTTGACCGATCCAGCTGTAATCCGTAGCATAGTAAATCTTCCTTTTATTCAGAACCGCAGTGGTAGCAGCAGAGTTCTAACACAACGTTTATCAGAATACAAATGCGATCACAATCACGAGGCGTCAATCAATACGTTGACGGCGCAATCCACTTCGTTGACAAGTGGCTGTCGTTTAACAGACATCGGTTCGATACCAGATAACGACCCTGATCGCCAATAACCACTAGCTGCGATTCGAGATCGCAGAATAGTTAATGGTCCATCTCAGATGAACAAACTATAGAAGGTGAAAGGGGCAGAATATGAAAGCAGGCAAGTGGAACGGGATACGACAGTAAGGAGGAGATCAGCTCGTTTCTCTGGTAAGGGCAATAACAGTGGCAGCGGTACCGACCGACGACCGGCTGCTTACTGATCGCAGCTGTTGTCGCTTTGTAGCTTGCCTAACTTCGCTTGTTCGCCATTCGCTGTTCGTCCTTCCGTCACAACCTCCCCGTGTGTTTGCTTACAGCGTGTCATTTTTCCCGGCCGCCGCTACTAATGTGACCGCCACTGCCGCCGCAAGCGCTGATGATGCTGCCCACAGGCGCCATATGAGTAAAATGGCATAGGAATACCAACCAACCGAGACGTTGGTCCCTGTTATTGTTTTTATTGTTGTGACTGTTGCTGGTGTTAGCAGAACAGCAGTACCGTCAGCCACTTTTCTTTCCATTGCTTTGTACAAGTTGTAAGGCGCAATAGCAGCATCACCACCGCGAGTAGGGCCAGTGGTAAAGAGTTGTTGGTTATCTCCGTCGCTGCGTTGTTTGTGATCGCTTCGGCCCGTTACTCGGCGAATTGTCTCGCTCAATCCATCAGCAGAGCATCGCTCACAGAATAAACTTTCGTTTGCCCGCACGCTCACCAGCGACAACAGTGACTCTGGGGACAGGGGTATTGACGGTAGCCGATGTTGCGCACGGATGTTACTAACGGGTGGTCACTGGCTTAGCCAGTGTCAACTATGCCGCATTCACTGCCGCCTGCTAGCTGACGGGTGAATGTAGGCGCCCGAAGGTAGGCCGTCGGAAGATGAGCGGACACAGGTACAGACGCTTCTTTTCGAATGTGCGCGCATCATTTATAAGCTGTTTACTTAGCGTTTACTTCAAGCATTTACGTGAGCTGGCGGTGACGGGCTGTCTCACGCCGCATCAAACAAAGAAGTGACAGTGATTAGGACGAACGACGTTAAGGGGGAGGGTGAACGCGAAATAGGTAAAGATCAGTGTGTTTAAGAACGAGCTGCCACAACGAAAATGAACCGAGCAACGAACGTACTTACATTATGAATTACATAATGATTGAATATTTTTTTAGCCTATAAGTATTTGCTCTAATTTTCGAAGATCATTCCGGCTACAGGCTAATATTAGGTACCTTTCTGCGATTGTCATCTGTTCGTTGACGTAGCTGAAAAGAAGTGCAATGCGGGATTTAGGTATACTGTTCATGTTTTATTTAATTCTCGGGCTAATAAATCTCATTTTCTAGAAACACTCAGCGGATTTTGGCGAGGAAATAGACGACAAGCCGTTAAGTTCGGAAAGGGAGGTAGGACAGGACAACAGTCGACAGGGTGAAAGTTAAGAAAGTCTGCTTAACTTCGACGACGACAACCACGTAAAAAGCCATTCGCAAGCCCCAAGTACGTTTTTCTTTCGCCGGGTATTGTCACGGAAGTTACGTAGACGACATACATCAATACGGTATCACGGTTAAACGTATAGCGTCATCTAAAGGGTTTCATCTCTTGAACGTAATTACGGAGGAGGGTCCAAGGAGTAAATGACAAAATTTGAGCCTACTTATCTTTATATGTAAACTCTGGACTTTCTTGACAAACATCGTGGCAGGAGCTCAACACAAACTATGGAGGAACTAAGGCGTGTCTACATATAATTTTCGCAAAAATGTATAGAAAAACTTCTAGCTATCTTATACCACTGTGAGATTATCTTGCAGTAGCTAGGGCTTAACATTAAGTAAGGCACAAAAAATAGATCACGCCAACCACATCTGGATAATGAAAAAGCTGAACAAACATCATAATTTTCAATTGCCATAAGGTCTTGAATAAAGAAGATTGAAGTATCGAATTAAGAAAGCGGCTATTTTGTAAATAGGCATTTGGTCGTCGAATGCGACTTAGTAGTTCTCGCTTAAATGAAGATCAGTTGCACATCTTTGTGTGGGCAAAGAGTGTGACTGAAGATCGAGTAGATCCATCTCAACATGCCAGTAGCGCACTATTTATCATCATCTAAGAAGATCAATATATAAATATACATGCAAATTTTAATAAAAAGAATGTAACGCCATTCCGGGCTGAAATACAATTTATTAATTATATGAATGGAAGCTAGTTACATTGAATAGAATCACGATTTATCAGACTGTGCCTACATGCTTTATTTTTAGCCAAGTTTGAAAGTTATTATGCTATCGTTCAGGCAGTCCTTTGGAACGAAAACTTCTTGCGTGAAGCTGTCTCATGTTATGCTCTCACATCAATAAGATAACAAAATAAAGAAGTAAGCTTTCTAACTGACTTGCGGAAGCTTAAACATGAACACTTTTTGTATACGTATCACGGCCGCTCCCGATCCAAGTGGTCAATCTTTTAGAAAGGTTTTTGTCTCTGTAATTGGGTCTGCAATATGGTAACGACTGAATATATGAGCTTGTAAACAAAATCTTCTTTACGAATGATCAAGTTGATCCCTTGAATTGAACTCAGATCAGTAAAAATGCGGATATTCTAAAGTAGTTCAAATGTCATCTAGAATACGATGTTTACTTGGTTAAAAGTTGAGGCACTTTTAAGTCTCGGATTCCACTGAAATAATCCTTGAGGGTCAACTGATCCCAAAGAGACTCACGTCGAGAACCCATTGCGACACGGGCCTTAAGTATACGTACATGCAAGAATAATTCTATCTCTTAAAGCTGTATTCTCGTCGTCATTTAGCGATAGTTAGTTGAAAACTAGAGGGAAGCGCTACGTACTGTGCGAAGATACCCAAAGCCCAGCATGTGTAGTCCTTTCAAACTTGTCAGACATGTTGCTGTCTTCCTATACATAGGCAAGAACGACGCTGTCACCCTAACGAGGCCAACTATGTAACTTCAGTGATGCAAGAACTGGAACAACGAGGGGACTCTACCAACGGTAAATCAAATCTTAACCTAAAAAAGAACTTTCTTTACAGCAACTTATCAAATCTAAGCAGATATGGTAAAACCGAACAGAGTATACATGTTACTCTTCTACCATTTGAAAAAGTTTTGCGTGCGCAGCGTTTAGAGTTTCTGGGGCTTCGACATTTAGACAACAGTATAGTTCGCGCTAGACGATAAACGCTCGTAAATATAATACACTAATAGCGACAACGCCAGTAAATAGCGGGTGGGAACAGTAACGAAAAGAACATGGCACTTGCAAAGCTTATTGCGGCAGACTTGTACAGAGACGATTGGGTTGCACTGCTGTAACGTGCCCAGCCCTGTTCGCTGTAAAGCTGTCAAGTGGGCCAACAAATAAACGATACACACAAACAAATCTCTCGTTATCGTATCCGGCTGACTCGTGGGAGGACAAAGGAACGCAGTGGAAGTCCGCTGCCAGCCACACCAATTGCGGAGTTGGCAAGCAGAGAACTGGTTGGTAAACAAGTACGTCCACACAATAAACAACGGTTAGATGAAAAGGAAAAAACTATTAAGATGCTTTCTTTATTCACATGGCTAGCCGTATTGTAAAATCTTTCGATACGTTTAGACGTCATCCTATTTGGCAGGCGGGGGGGAGTGCGGTTCAGATCGAGACAAGTACAGACAATCATATAGAGAGTATAGAGACACAAGTCGAATGCTGACTAAACTTATCACTTCATTGAGGTGAGCAAGCAGAAACATACGAGTATATAGATTGAGGTGGATGACGTTCATGTACATCAGGTTCATTGTACAAATTTCTACAATGATAATCTTGAGCCATAACTTTTGTTTTGTCACTTTCCCATAACTCAACGATTTTGACCACACTAAAATCTCACAGCAGTTTTTACAATAATAGTCTAAGGGGTGAGCCCTATAGTTGAACGAATTTCACTTGGGTCGGTCAATAACACTACCTGGGTTGCTACGAGTGCATCTGTCGACGTGTGTAGCTTGTTTTGTCGAGGTTAGGCTTAACAATTAGGCTTTTATATTTACAATATGATACGGGAACAAATGCATAATGTTAGGTTTTCAATAAATAGCACACGTCATTGACACTGTGGCACGCAATTGGCAGATGACAACCAATTTTTTCGTATCCATCCACAGCCTATATCGTATCCAATGCGAAAATCGAAATTGGTGTTTACAAGGGCTTTTTTTTTTTGCTATATATTTTATATAAGCAGTCATTTAGTTGCACTCCTAAACCATATGGAAGTGGACGCTTTCCGCCTGTTGAGACAGCAGCATATGTGCACCAAATGTTAGAGCTGTTGTTAGGACACCACTACTAATCAAGGTGGTCATTTTTATCAGCCTACTACAGTACTGAACCTTTAAACCCTTTCTCAAAAAAATTCAACCTTGTATATTTTCAATTTTGGGGGAAAATACTATGAACGCATCGCGCCATTCCATAACTATAAATTATAAGCCAACAGCGCGTCAACGATACTACGTATCGTGTACGAAATTTGATGTGGCATTCATCTCCCCTATTTCTAATAGGTCACTAGAATTAATAAGCTGATTGATTTAGTTTTTTGTTGAAAATTTACACCAATTATTTGTGCGTTACTTGGACAACTGTCGCTTTCCGTACTCGACCTCATTTCCTATTTAGGTTTTCCTAGCGATAAACGAAGTGAGTATTGTCCTTTTAGGCAAAAAAAACCGCGCTTCAATTAGGATTTCGATATCGTCAAGCTATACCTTGATGCGTAGACAAGCTTTCGTAAGGTCAGCTTTGCCTAGATCTTTTTATGTTCCTTTATGGAATTTAATAAGCTCTATTCACACATAGACCTTATTTAAAGTTGACTTATCTTTAAACGAATTTCCGTGGCAACACAGTCTTCCCTCAAATGCCAACCCTTGAATAGAGTAAAATATGGCGCACAATGGCGTCTAATTGACGCGGTGTGACGAGGGCGCTCGCAAGCGTAGCCACCAACGTTGTACGCATTTGTCTCATCTGGCCATCAGTACAGGACAGAAATCCTCCGGATTGTTATGAAATAGTCTTTCTTACCATCGTCAACGGTTAAATCAATTTCCCTATTGCCTGGAAAATATAGTAAATTTTCAGAGGGCATTTGAACATAAAGTATACGTTCATTTTAATTTCATTCACGTTTGACTGAGCCGAAAAGAGGGGTAACAGGAAAACCATTTCTCTCATGCCATCATACTCTCGAGATCGTTCCTAGAAATGAGTCCTGCTTCTGCCTGAAGGATCTCCGCTTAGCTACTCCAAACGTCACATGGTGGAACTCTGCTGTCACAACGCATGCGCACGTGTACCCCCAGCATGGATGTCATGTAAGAATCATTTCGTCTACATTATTCCTCGACGGTGAGACTGAAACGGCACAGATACTGCTTAGCGAACATGCAATCCGCTCAATTATAATTCTTAATTGGCATCGAAGTACAATCCTCAATGCGGTGACTATACAGAAAGTGAAGTACCAAGCTAAACTGAATAGGCCGGGTTTCACTGCTACCCATTTGATGCACCGCAACGTCACCGTCACCCCAAGCAGGGAAATGTTTACCAAAACAATGACATCAGAACACTACTGCGCCACTTGAGCTGGTGTTTTATAATGGGCTCGTTGAGGAAATATCACGGCTTGTCGTAGGATAATCTGCTCGCAGGTATATTTCTGATTCTCCTTGTGCATACTGGTAAAATAGTTCACACAAAAACGAATCCAAATTTAAGTGTAGCCGCAGAAAAATTATTGCTAATGGGTTCTTTCGATGAAAATTTCTTAAAGATGTTGCTTCTAACGACCAATTTAAATGAATAATAATTTGCAGTAAAATGTAAAAGCCCTACATGTTCGCTTGGTGGTGTGATTATTATATTAAACGATTGCATGTTGGATTGCCTGGGCATAGTGCCACTACCCGCCCGTCATGATCCACAAAAACAAGGAGCAGAACTAACTAGTTCCTTTGGTATTTCAACGTCATTCTCATGAAAAATAGCACATGCGTAAAACTACAGAAAGACTTACTATGGACAACTACTTGCGTTTGTTTTTATATCAGCAACTTTGTGGGTGTTAGGGTGTTGAAGTTCCGTTAAACCACCTGTAACAACACAACTGTCTCGGTACCTTCCCTTCTATATACTAGCTAACCTAGTATTTTAAGAAAGCTATTTGGCCAACGTTCAGCTTCGAAAAGCTCTTGAGAATATCCTCTTTCTGTGTTCACTTCTTTCCGGATGTTTCTTTCCGGATTTCAATAAGCTTCAACTGCATGGGCCTGTGCACGCACGTGCAGCTACTACAAGCGTTGAGATACGAAAACCGTAGAGTGACCCAGAATATGCTTTGTTTGTTGAATCGTTGTATTTCACATCAAATGCGTATTATGTGTCATGTACGTAATCAGTGTGTCCCTCGACCGTAAACGATTTGCATCGTAATTTTTGCCAGTCTAAAAGTTTCACCATGGTCGTGTCGATGATAATTTTTTGTTCTACAGAGCTTGGAGCGCAAGACCAGCATAGCTGGAGATGCTACAGCCGTACGTTAGCCTAAGCACAAGCAAGTAAACATGTAGGATTAATTGGTAGTACAGTGTACACTAGCTGTAAAGATCGCGAACACGCCATTTTCCTACCTCGAAAACAAACAGACTCTATCATCACTGGCAGGCAGCCATGACTTGTAGGTAATTTTGTTGTGAACTACAGCGCATACATAGGTATTAACATGTCTAAGGTTCAATTGCTGTCAATGGCGTATCACCGTCTCATAGGAAGTCGCAATCAGCTGATAGATCAACACCTCAGCCGATCTTGACATAGCATCGTCATCGACCGAAGCTGAAACTGAAAGTAAGTGATCTTCTAATACGGGTTAAAGATTTTAGAGTCTTAATGGTTTTGTGAACTATTTGCAAGCCTGTCTTGATAAACAGGCTGGTTGTGGAACCGTTTGGACGATTTGTTCCTGCACTCCACAATGCGGCTACCTATCCTAGCTCAAGCGGAGAGCTACACAACTGTCTGCGTTTTCGATCTATCGCTATCTTCTCAGATACACCTTCGGTACGGTTGACGTTACCTGTACGTGCAACATGCGAACAGAGACCCAACCGATATTCCAGTCCTTGCTAAATTATCCTCCGTTATCCTTTTTGTCCACTCGCAAATACACGGCGACATTTGTGGCTGCATACCATAATATTGACAGCTTATCCAAAGCGGCGCTGAACGACTATCGCACACATTTGAGCTCTATTGTTCAATTTAGCAGAAAATAAATTCGAAAAAAACAGCCCAGAATCGGTAAGTGTTCACCCTGAAACAGATGCTTCTATCCGTGTGACGTCAGCCGTTTTTTAGCGAGGTGACGCGACCTGATGAAACTCGTGACGTGACCACGAAGGCTATTCAGTTCTAGCAAGGGCGGATTGCATCAATTGGTCAGCAGTTGACGTCGCGATACGCAAATGCGCCGGTTAGTCGATCGTCGAAAAAACGTGTAAAGAAGTATATATTAGAGGGCCTCTAAAATTGGCATAGCGAAATCGTTGGTTCTAATGCGGCTCATCCGACGGCCTAACAGATCGCACCTGTACACCCATTTACGCATCTGCTGCCACGCGTAGACGAAGTTTTC